GGACTCATCAGTAGGGCGCATCCACGATCCCGCACTCGCGAGATTTGAACTCAGGACCTATCAGTCTGGCGCCAGAGAACCTAACTGATAGACCACTGAGCCGGCATCTGATGATGTTAATCCCTGACTTCAACCAATTCATGAAGTTTGAACAACCGTTCAGCAATTGTCTTCAGTGAGTTGATATCTCTACAACAGACTTGGTTGAGCTCCACTTATCACTGGGGGATCGTGGATGAGTACTGCTGAGCAGTCCCATAATAAGAGAAAACGGCCGTCTAGTGCTTCCAGGTTTTCCATGGTAGTCTAGCTTCAGGTGACTCATGATTTCAACTATGAAAATACTAAATTCTCCAAAAAACCCTTTTGATGTATATACAATTGTTCAATGATAGATTAAATCACGACGTCAGTATGATAATTAAAATTATTCGAACTAATGTACTAACTAAGAATTCCCCGAAATAGTGTCATTGAAGGCGAATAGAAAGATGAAAATATAGATAAAGATGAATAAAGATAAATAAAGATGAAAATATCAGCCAATATGGGACCTAAGGGTGAACCCATCGCGGTACCATCTATTTGTCTGTAGATTTTACCATTAAATTTGTAACGTAAATTCATAGTACATTTTAGTAGTAATGTTTTGATGGTCTTGTGGTGGACCAGACAATATATAAAAGCAAAAGATATCAACAAAGTTAATAACAACCAATAATAATATTAATATATACCAGTTAAATGTTACGAATACAATAAATAATGGGACTTTACTTAAGTTCACCCGAAATGATGCGTGTTCGACTTTGATCTGGTACAATAAATGCACAATTATAGATGCTTAGTAATTCCTAACGTATCGATGATCTCCCCAGTATTGTAATCCAAAGTAAGATATGATATATTCACTTTCTCAGTCTATGAATGTAAATAATATTTGTTTTAGAACTAAGTTAACTCAATCTCGAATGAAAACAGAACGAGGGATGAGTGAGTATTAATGTATTTGGTAGCCAGAAAGAAGATGTCACGCTATGTTGGAATCACAACGAAAAGTGTTTACAAGGTCTTTGACTAAAACAACATGTACAGTCATTTAATGATGAATGTACATACAGTGAAAAATTGACAAAACAAGTACAAATAATATTAAAAACTATTTACAAAATAAGCTTGACGGTCATATCTCCACAGTCTCCACAGGGATTGGAGTTTCTACTTCTACCTAATCCCGTCAGACTGACAGAACTAGATGAGCAAAAATGGACGTATTACATTTGGTATTCATAGTCAACGACAATCAATTACCAAAAGAATCATCACTTAGTATAAATACCAAAAACACGTCAATGACAATGTTTATACATTATAACAAGAAAACTATTCTGTACCCTAATTTTCTTCTTATTTTTGATATGTATTTGCTTGATATAACAAATCATATGCATTCACTATTATGTTCTGTTAATAAGGTCAAAAAACTGTCTACCTCAGGATATTAGTACGTGTGTATAAATTGAAAGTTAAAGAATGAATGATAATGTGGTGTGGTCTACTTATATCCATATAAGTAGTATATGGTCAGATGGTCAGACATACAATGTATTTTGGCAGAAGAACGATAAAGAAAGAACAGAAATGAAGCGCAATCGGTATGAAAATGCATGAACAATGAAGTCAGAGAAGATCGACTGATATTTACAAAAGGAACAGTGAAGATTGAGACTATTGATTGATAGTTTGTAAATTAACTATTGACTATATGGTTATTAGAATTTAGTGAGATAGTCTGTAATTTCTGCTTAGACACACTCGATTGTCCCCATCCGTGTTCTGTTCACTACAATAACGTCTATAAATTCGTTGTTATGACAATAATCTCATGTTCATTCTGCTAAATAAAAATCGATTATAAGGTTTCCGAGTTATACGTCAGCGGTCTAGAGGTTAGGCGCTCGCGCGCGAGACCGATAGGTCCTGGGTTCGAATCTCGCAAGACAGGATAAAGGATGGGCACTATTGAGAAGTCCGAAAATAGGACGAAACAGCCGTTCAGTGCTTCTAGGTTTTCCATGGTGATCTAGCTTCCATTGACTCATGATCTCAACTATATAAATTCATCTCATTTCATTACTTAGTTGACAGCAGTTATTTTCAATAGAGTGAAAATTTCCACTTTGACATTTGGCAAATAAAAAGGAACGAATCGAGTGAAGAAATTTCTTTTCAATTAGCTTTTCATTATGACTCTACACTAATATATATATGAAGGGGTTTTGTGGATATTATGGTAATTTTAATAGTGGAGTTAGACATCAACACCGTTGGATACCAGCTGACTCAGTGGTCTAGAAGTTAATCTCTCGCTTGTGAAACTGATGGGTCTTGGGTTCGAATCTCGTGAGGCGGGATCGTGAATGCGCACTGCCAATGAGGATTTCCACAGTAGGACGAAACGAACATCTAGTGCCTCCAGGTTAAACTTTATACAAAAAACAACCGTGCTAAGATCTAAATTCAGTGTGTTTCTTCAGACTGGATATTGGATGGAAGTATGAGTTTAAAAGTACACAGCTGGATGTTTTTTACATTGTTCACCCAGACAAATATAGGCTTTTATTTATTACACCGAAATTAAACGTTGGTATAACTAAAACATGAATTGATACTATTGACCTGCATCTCAGAGTTGATGTTCACTCCCAGACTCGAAACCAGTATCGTTCGCTTCAAACGCCATCGCGTTATCCACTCAGCTACTGAGTCCTGATAGCCACTTGCTTGTGCAATGGGGTGAAGTTTAAATTCACTTAGTATTGTTTGTTTGAATCTTCTCATTGATGTTAAGAACTTCAATTAATCAGTCTCTTATTGACATATGTTCATACTGTGCGTATTGCCTCCATATAGCCATTAACTCACTTATAGTCCTAAACATCAATGAGAAGATTCAAACAAACAATACTAAATGAATAAGATAATTGTTTACCAAAGTTCTTCTACAGACTCGAACTATTTTGTTTATAAACAGAAAATGAAATTAGACATAATGAACTTAGATATGTGAACATATTAATTAGATAACTAATGATCAATTACATAACTCCTCTGAAAACAGAACTTAATGTAGTAATGTTGTTATAATTAATATATAACTAATGGAATGTGAGAATTGTATTCAATAAAAGGTTATAATAATGTATAACATGATATTTGGACGGGAGCCAAATACTAATCTATGTATGATCTATCTATATATATAAGTGATAATATGAACTAATTATAAGAATTTGTGTGTTTTCATAGTTGAAGCTATCGGTCTATCGGTTAAGGGCTCTGGTTCGAGACCGGTAGATCCTGGCTTCGAATCTCGAGAGTGCGGGATCGTTTATGCGCACTGTTGAGGAGTCCCATAATAGGACGAAACAGCCGTCCAGTGCTTCCAGGTTTTCCATGGTGGTGTTTAATTAACTCACGCTTTCAACTATAAATTTTATAGTTATTCAAATGCTGGAGAGTCCCATAATAGGACGAAACGGATGTCTAGGGTTTTCAGGTTTTTCATGCTGGTCTAGCTTCAATTGATTCATGATCTTAACTATACAAAATTATTAGAATTAATTAATTGTAAAATGTAGGTTTAAAATGTCATAGATTTATTCTATAGTAATGAATAAAGAATTAGTATGATAAAACTATTTAACAATATCATTTTACCCGCCTATTAGAGAGTGGCGATTTATTGATTCGATCAATGACACACGAAATTCTTACGAGCAGTTTAGAGTAGTTGTCGGTCGTGCTTTCTGCCTAACCCAACCAGTTAAGTCGAAAACACCAATAATAGCCTCTGCAATATGAATCATTATATTTCAAACACATTGAGTTTATATACCAAGCAAACAGACCACATCGTGACATAAGATAGAAAAACAACATTTGTAGAATTTTAGCCGAATGTGACTGTGAATAGGGGGGAACAGCAATCAATAGACTGGGTATAACTCAAGAATGGTTAATCGTACAGTAACAATCTATGGGTCTAAATAAACCTCATAATGTAAGGAACATGAATATAAACAGTTTAGTTACTTAGCGATAGGAAATATGCATATCATATTGGTCCATAAATAGTTCTCAAAAGTTACCATTCATAATTCTCTTCATGATATAACAAATACATTAACACATAACAATGTTCAGTTATCCTTTATATATTTTATAATAAAACATTCAATTTTGTAGTTATCTAGTTTACCCTCCATTTTCGTTCACTTTCTATGTTGTGAACAGCGAAAGACGAAGCCTTAACCAAACTACAGAAACTACTTTTTAGGCAAGTTATATCATTTGATTCAAAGCTTAGGAAACAGTAACATTTACTTTTTTCCCTAATCTATTCTACAGATAAAAAGCTTTCGTTTGATGTATGATTCACTGTCATAGCCTTCTATGTTCCAAAGCTATTGTAATTTAAACGTAATCTTTTGTATTCTATTTTCTACTCTAATCCTCCAGTTTTGAACATAATTGTTTATTTCCTTATTGTCGTACATTGTAGTCAGGTTAGTCATCTATTTATCCATGTATCTTTCTACACTAATCTGAAATCGGTTACCAGATCGGAATTGGGAATAAATCGAGTAGTGTTCCAGTTGACTTTGTCTTCTCTCACGTGCGTGGGCTTGTCAACTAATCAGGTGGTAGAATAGTTTTCGTCTTTCTACCCCCACTTCAAACTCACGCATACTAGCCTCACGGTTAAGCCAGTCAACCTATCTCATCAAGGTCTTAATCTACATTAGATAGGCTATCCTCTACACGAAAGTCGATAGACAGATCAAGGATGTAACATTCTATATAATGTACCATTCTGTTCGAAAGCTTTCAATATCCAACATATAGTAAATACCAACCACATATATGAAGCACCAGGAAAAAAAAAGCTCAGCAGAAGGCAAAAAAGGATGGATAGACAAGAAATAATAACAAACATCTTAACAACAAGTAGATAAATTATAATAAACTATGCATAATACTAATAAAATTGATAAAATTATTGTTGCTATCATCCAAAGGAGGGTACATTTATCAAACAAAATAGTAGTTGATTGAATACAATCAGTTTCATTTATTTGTATTACTTCAATCATATTTGTATCCGGGACTATATGTTCTAACACATTATCATTGATAATGTCTTGTGTAACATTTATAGGTTCTTTAATTCTTATGGTTGGTGTTGTTGGTATCAGTGTTGTAATTTGTATCAAAGTAGTTTGAACATTATTCTGTACAGAATAATCTGAACTATTCTAGAAAAAACAAACAATTTTTGTAAATAAATAAGTAAGTAGGTAAGTAAGTAAGTAGGTATATAAGTAAGAAAGAAAGTATGTATATATGTATGTATGTATGTAGGTAGGTAGGTCGGTAGCTAGGTAGGTATACACTCTACTAAGTAAGGAAGTAAGTAACGTGAGTAAGTAAGTAAGTAAGTGAGTAAGTAGGTAAGTAAGTAAGTATGTAAGTGAGTAAGGAAGTCAGTGTGTAAGTAAGTATGTATGTATGTATATAGGTAGGTAGGTAGGTAGGTGTACACTCTATTATTCCTAAATTGATACCAGTTGATTATTTACAGTTTTCCTATTCACAACTACTTTTGGATTATTCATGTATAATTGTTACCCTTTCATTTCATGATGTGATGCAGTCTGGTGTATTCGTATATAAACTATGTTTGTTGGAAATACAATCATATTATAAACTGGTTACTACTTCTGAATTGAACACTAAAGATAGTGAAGAGTAATTGAATAGAAGAGCGATAAGAAAGCAATTATTGTCTCAAGATCAGTAGTGCTGGTTAGGAGTTGAATTGTTTCAGTCAGAAACAGTAAGCTATAGAGTAAATCATAAATTATTAACAACAATTACACAAATTATAATAAACGATACATAGTAATAAATTCTACGATAGGCTGCAGTCGATCGTCGACAAGTACCGAACAAAGGAATTGACCATTCTGATGAGAGATTTAAATGCCAAGGTTGAAATGGACAACACTGGACACGAAGATGTCATGGGATGACATCGACTGACGGGGAGAAAAGGAACGAAAATGGTGAAAGATTTCAAATCTATGTGCCTTCAATAAACTGGTCATAGGCGGCACCATATTCCTACACAAACGCATTCAAAAAATCACATGGACTTTACCGGACTACACTACACAGAACCAAATCGACTATATTTGCACGAACAAAAAGGTCAAGAGGATGATAGAGGACGTAAGAACCAGAAGAGCAGCTGATATAGCATCAAATTATCACTTGCTATTCGCCAGGATAAATTTAAACCTAAGAAGCACTGGAAAACGGCACGGACATCACAAAAATTTAATGCGGCTTTTCTTCGGGATATTGACAAACTCAACAAAAGTCTGCAAGAGAAGGAAACATGAGAAAATTGTATGATACAGCAAAGAAACTTGCTGGAAATTACCGTAAACCAGAACGAGCAGTGAAAAGCGAGGAAGTTAGGGTAATCACCAACATTGGTGAACAACAGATTAGGTAGGTAGAACACTTTAAATAATTCTTGAATTGGCCAGATCCACTGGACCCACCAAACATCGAAGCAGCACCCACAGACCTCCTAATCGATGTTGGCCCACCAACAATTGAAGAGATCAGCATATCCATCAGACAAATCAAGAGCGGCAAAGCAGCGGGATCAGACAACATTCCAGCATGGACACTTAAAGCAGATGTAGCAGCAACTGCCAAGATACTTCACATTCTCTTCAGTAAGATTTGGAAGATTTGGGCAGCACATCGGTGAACACGGTGGATCTGATGCAAATGTGAGGGCGAGGGTCAGCAAAGCAAAAGCAGCATATTTACAACTAAAGAACATCTGGAACTTAAAACAACTGTCTGTCAACCAACACCAAGATCAGAATTTTCAATACAAATGTCAAGATAATTCTACTGTATGGGGCGGAAATTTGGAGAACTACGAAAACCAACATCCAGAAGATACAGATATTTATTAACAGTCATCTACACAAGATACTTCGGATCTGATGGCCAGACACTATCAGCAACAAAATACTGTGGGAGACAATAAACCAGATTCCAGCGGAGGAAGAAATGTGGAAGAAGCGCTTGATGAGGATAGGACATACATTAAGGAAGTCACCTAACTGCGTCACAAGGCAAGTCCTCGCATGGAATCCTGAAGGTCAAATGAGAAGAGGAAGAACAAAGAACATATTACGTTGAGAAATAGAGACAGACATGAGAAGAATGAACAAAAACTGAATAGATCTAGAAAGGCAGACCCAGCACAGAGTTGGTGGGTTGGAGAATGTTGGTCGGCGGTCTATGCACTACTGGGAGTGACAGGAGTAAGTAAGTAAGTAAGTATCTTCCAAAGGAATGTACATTTATTAAATAAAATAATAGTTCATTGAATACATTTTGTTACGTTCATTTGTATTACTTGAATTATATTTGTATCCGGGACTATATGTTCTGACACATTTCCATTAACAATTTCTTGTATAACATTTAGAGGTTCTTCATTTCTTATGGTTGAAGTTGTTGATCCCGGTCTCATAACTTGAATCAAATTAGTTTGAACATTATTCTGTACAGAACAATCCGAACTATTCTAGAAAAACAAACAATATGAATAGATTATTTACATTATAAACAAGTCATCGTTAATAAATAATAAATAAATTGATAGACACCATCCAGACTTTCACGTGACAACCCAAAACAGTACAGCTCAATCCCGTTTAACAGGAGAGCTAGACAATGCTAAGGTTCAACTGGAGCAGTACAGCTGAATCCCGCCCCATAGGAGAACCAGACACTATATAGGCTTCAACGCTACAGTCTGAACAGTAAAGCTCAAAGTTGTGGCGCAACCACACAGGTACCAAGCATCTTGATGGACCAAATGCTACAATATAGTACAATATAGTAAAAGTCAAATCTCTCACCTGTATATGACACTCTCCTTTCTTCCACATTTTTCCATAAATATCATGGGTATTAGTACAGTTTTTGGTTCTTGGACACCAATAACATTTTGTAGCAAATGCACCCGGTCTGAGACAGTCATTGCATGATGTTTGATCAGAGCAAACTTGAACATGAGGAAAATAATATATCTTGATGAAGAATTTTCTAGAAAATACTTATTACAATAGTGTATTGCAATAGCGTATTGCCTCGATATAGCCTTAATTCACAAGCATTGTAAGCAAAGATAGGTAGTGGCTAGTAGTGGAATCCAGGACACGCGTTTCGTCCTATTTTGGATCCGTCAGTTGGATATACCTGAATCACAGAGTTGATATTCACTCTGAAACTCGAACCTAGTATCCTTCGCTTCAAACGCCATCGCGTTATCCACTCAACCACTGAGTCCTGAAACGTGAGTCCTGGATTCCACTGCTAGCCACTATCCATCTTTGCTTATAATACTTGTGATTTTGGGCTATATCGAGGCAATCTGCACAGTATGCACATATGGCCAATAAGAGACTAATCAGTTGCAGTCCTAACACATCGATGGGAAGATTCAAATAAACAATATTAAGTGAATTACTTCAATATTGTTTTTATTACTATATGGAACCCTCAGTATACAGTATTTCAAAAAATTTCCTTTACAAAATGGTGGTAAAATAGCCGGTAATTACATACATGTGTACATGAAGTAAGTAAGTGAAGTCAAGAGTCTGGATAACTTTTAATTAGAAACATGTTTGAGAATACAGACTATGTTTTAGGTAATCTCTTACAACTTATTCTTCACTTAGTGTGTTTACAAGATAAGGTATTGTAGAATGTTTATACCTTTGCTTGCGTGCATGGATTCTAACGTACTGACGTCTCGTTCTACCAGAGAAAGACATAAATGAAGTTGAAGGTTGGTATCTGATAACACTTGTTAGCAGTTTGCATAACTTTAGATTTCTATCCACAACCATATTAATAATGACCTCAATAGATTCACCACACATCTTTCCAAATGACTTCATCATTCTACACAATATAGCAAAATCTTTTCTCAAAAGCTCTTGAAAGAATAATCGAGAACAGTAAAGAATAATAGGTAATATGCAAGAATTGACAAATCGTAAAAGTAATTGTTGAATAATCCCAAAAGCATCCAGGCACTCTATGTAGTAAGTTAGATGGAAAACTTTCTTCGATAACAATAAAACATGAGAAGACCAAGTGCGATCAGAATGAAAACTTACATAAAAATAAATAACTTTTGAAGATGTTTTTATTACAGGATCTATAATGAAACAAAGTCTATGTGATTTCAACAAGGTGTTTAAGTTCTATCCATGTATCAGGTTGAAATTAAGATCAGAAGGAGTTTTGTGGAGATTTAGTATTTTCATAATTGAAAGTGTGAGTCAATAAAAGTTAGACTACTATGGAAAACCTGGAAGCATTGGACGGCCTTTCGTCCTTTTGTAGGACTCCTCAATTGACTCATGCTTTCAATTATGAAAATACTAAATCTCCACAAAACTCCTTCTGATAATAATAATAATCATATGCTCATTAGTGACTGGCTCCATGAGGTATTTCCTTGAGTTCTAGTGAGAAGCAGTGACCAGTGGAGTTCAAACCACGTCTGTTGTAAGATATCAACTCACTGAAGACAATTGGTAAACAGTTGCTCAACTTCGTGGATCAGTTGAACTTAGACATTAACGCCGTTGGATGGCAGCCGGCTATGTGGTCTATTGGGTAAGTGCTCTGGCGTTAGATTGGTAGATCCTGGGTTCGAATCTCACGAGTGCGGGATCGTTGGTGCGCACTGCTGAGGAGTCCCATAATAGGACGAAACGTCCATCTAGTGCTTCCTGGTTTTCGATGATGGTATAGCTTCAATTGACTCACGCTTTCAATTATGAAATTAAGAGTTTGATATTTAGAAGGATTAACTGTGAAACAAGAATTCAAAAACACGAAGTTTAGTGAAAGGATCTCTTTTCAACGAATTTATTATCAAGCTATACACTCGTATATATATGAAAATGTTAAAGTACTGATTCCCTGAGGAAATGTGAACACGAATAATAAAGATGACGTAACAGAATGATTATAATACTAGATTGCGCAATATGCGTAATAATAATAGATTTAGTGAATATAATAAGATGATTAAAATGAAAGAAAATGTTTTCGTTACAATAATTAAAAGATAAACTTCCGCATCTGCTAGCCTCCATGTGCATCTATCAGTTCACCTGCTCTTGTGCAGCAAGGTACATTGGCCTTAGCCAGCGCTCACTCTCAACTCGTATACGAGGACATATCCCAGTTTGGTTCTACAAGGGAGTTCTATACTTGAACACTTAATCGACTGTAATCATTCTACGAATCCACAGTTTGATTTTAAGGTTTGTTATATTGATTCGTTCAAATCTACCTAGATTCCTTCGTATCAAACACTTGAAATAAAAAAAAGTTCTCACCATTCATGCACTTAAATGAGAACTATGTATACAAAAGAACTACATCTTATCGTTATCGTTACCGTGGCCTTATTATTATTATTATTATTATTATTATTATTATTATTATTATTATTATTACTCTATTCCCCCTCTACTTATGACTCATATTCTCATTATTTCATTCATGAATACTCATCATACCACCTTATTTATTTTTACGCCTCTATGACCTTTAATTATTGTAACCAAACCATTTTTCTTTCATTTTAATCATCTAATTATATTCACTCAATCTATTGTTATTACTCGTATTACGTACTTATTTACTTACTTACTTACGCCTGTTACTCCCAATGGAGCATAGGCCGCCGACCAGCATTCTCCAAGACACTCAATCTGTCCTGGACATTCTTTTCTAGTTCTATCCAATTTTTCCTCATTCTTCTCATGTCTGTCTCAATTTCTCACTGTAATGTGTTCATCGATTTTCCTCTTCTCCTATGGCCTTCAGGATTTCATGTGAGGGCTTGTCTTGTGACGCAGTTGGGTGACTTCCCTAATATGTGTCCTATCCACTTCCATCTACTGGATGAAATCTGGTTTGTTGTCTCCCACAGTAGGTTGTTGCTGATGATGTCTGGCCATCGGATCCGAAGTATTTTGCGTAGACAACTGTTAATAAATATCTGTATCTTCTGGATGATGACTTTCGTAGTTTTCCACGTCTCTGCCTCATACAGTATTACGTATTACGTAATCTAGTAACATAATCATTCTATTACGTCATCTTGAATATTCATGTTTACAATTCCTCACGAATTAGTAAATTCGTGGAAAAGAGATCCCTTCACTGAACTTCATGTTTATAATTTTTAATGTTTAAATGGGAATTATCTGTCAAACAATAATTCATTCATTTTAATGGACTGTGAAGAGGAAGAAATCGGTGTATGTACATGTGATCAGAACTGAACCATGGAGCATGTTTACGAATCACATACATCCTTACATTAATCATGATAACCTAGTGATGATTTATTTTATTATTTTATTTGAACATAGAAATATTGGTACAAGGAAGTACCAGATACATATGCGCCACACAAATCTCATTCGATTTGTGTTAGGGTTGTAAATCTGCCCAGGTGTCCAAACTGAAGCAGGTGATTTTCTTAGAGGACCACACCCTGATCCTTTGACCTAAAGATCTGATCCACAAGGTAGTAGAGCATCGTTAGAAGATGCAGTCCTATGGTAGCCGGTGACCAACAATTGATTCATACGCCATTTGTTCCATCAGGATATTGGAGCCCATATGCACCATTGGTTTGGAATCAGGGTATTCCAATTCCCCTAGATGGACTTTGTGTGTCCACCAACCCGGTTAAAGCTCCGGATATTCGCTTTTCGTCCTCTCAATTTTGTAAACAACAGTAATTCCACGAGAAGGCAGTGAGTAGGACTTCCCTGACAGAGGCTATTTACGAGTGGCCATGTGAGAGCATTTCGAGAGAGAGGGCGGACTCTCCCTACTGTCGACTGTACCAGGGCATGTGGGGGTTCCTAGTGATGATAGGAAGCTACAATCATATAATTAAAAATCAAGAATCAATAGTAAATTCACTTACTTGGATCTGGTATAAATTCAATCAAAGTGTTTGATTTTATCAGGAATGCAGGAACTTTTATTGTACTTTTTTTGTAATGAGGTAAATAAGCATAATCTATGGAAAAAGTCAAACAAGAAATAAATAGAACTAAAGTATACGAACAGTCTTGAGTAATTCAAATATCATACAGTGAAATGTTATGTAAGTAACTGCTTCAAAAATTAGACTGAGATTTGGATAAGTAATTAGAAATTATATAGTTAAACTCATGAGTTAATTGAAGCTAGACCACCATGGAAAACCTGGAAGCACTGGACGACCATTTCATTATTGTGTGGGAATACTCAATAGTGCACATCCACAATCCCACGCTTGAGATTGCAACCCTGAACCTCCGGTCTCACGCGCGAACGCCTAATCTGTAGACCACTGAGCCGAGCATCTAACGATGTGAGAAGATAGGTCCTGGGTTCGAATTCCACGGACGAGACGGTGGATGCGCACTGATGAAGAGTCCTATTCTAGGACGAAACGGTCGTCCAGTGATTCTACGTTTTCCATGGAGGTTTAGGTTCAATGGACTCATGATCTTAACTATAAAATTACTAAAATCTTCACAAAACCCCTTTCTGATAATTAGAAATTACTAGTTAAGATTAGAAGTCAGGATAAGACATTAGGGTTTTAGGTCTTTATCACTAAATGATACCAACCATGATGAAAAGACTATTCTGTAGCTTATGGACGAATAAGTTTAGCGCGAAAATTCAAGACACAATACCACGCATCTGATTATTTCGTCCTTATACTGTATTTGTACTTTGGAAAACAAAATATAAAACCATACGATATAAGAAAGTTTTAGGATGATAACTGTTATAAAACCTCTTTCTTTGATTGAAGATATTTAACTAGTATTCTTTTAATACAGGTACATCCAACTGACGAGTCTTAAATAGGACGAAACGCACGTCCTGGATTCCACTGCTACCCACTATTCATCTTTACTTATAACGCTTGTGACTTAAGGCAATATCGAGGCATTCTGCACAGTATACACATATGCCAATAAGTAACTGATCAATTATAGGTCTAAAGAACAATGAAAAGATACAAGCAAACAATACCAAGTGAATTTTTCATTTTCTTATACTTTAAAAATGCCCGGAGACTATACCACATTAAAAGCACCGATTCTTGTTCGATCACCACAGTTAAGCAACGTTGAGCCCGGTCAGAACTTCAAATATGATTTCTACCTTCTACTATGTACATATAAATAAATATAAAAATTTCAAAGAACTTGTTCAGATGTCATATAATTAGAGTTCACTCATGTATTTAACACAAACCATGAAATAAACTTATCATCAATATTCTAGTTATTCTCTAATGGGATAATAAATGAATGAAATTCAACTTACTTTGAATTGTCATTGGATAATAGATTTTACTTCCAGATAAAGATTCATCTGTTTCATTAAATATTCCATTCGGTATCTGATAAATACCAATATATATATATTGAAAAGAAGTTATGTAATGCTTCATTAAGATAAAAGTGTTAAACTGAGAATCAATCAACTACGTCACAAGGCAAGCCCTAACATGGAATCCTAGAGGTTAAAAAAGGAGAAGAGCAAGACCAAATAACACATTACGCCGAGAAATGGAGGCAGACATGATGAGAATGAACGAAAATTGGATAGAACTAGAAAGGAAGGTCTAGTGTTGGAGAATTTCTGTCAGCTGCCTATCCTCCATTGAGAGTAACAGGCGCAGGTAAGTAAGTAAATAAACAAGTGATAGTTATTAGGAATAGAATAGGAGGATATGGTCGTCCAATGCTTCCAAGTATTCCATGATTGTCTAGCTTCAAATATTGAAATTATTAATTAATATTTTCATAGTTGAAAGCGTGAGTCAATTGAAGCTAGACTACCATGGAAAACCTGGAAGCACTGAACGGCTGTTTCGTCCTATTATGGGACTCCTCAGCGATGCGCATCCACGATCTCGCCTCGTGAGATTTGAACACAGGATCTACCAGTCTCGCGCCAGAGCACTTAACCTCTAGACCACTGAGCCGACTGGAATCCAACGGCGTTAATGTCTAACTTCAACCAATCCACGAAATTGAGCAACCATTCACCAATTGTCATCAGTGAGTTGATATCTCTACAATAGACGTGGTTTAAACTCCACTAGCTACTGCTTCTCACTAGAACTCAAGGAAATACCTCATGGAGCCAGTCACTAGTGAGCATATGATTAATGAATAGCTATGAAAATAATTTTAAATATGTAGGAGTGATAAAATAAATAAAAATGATGAACTATAAAGAAGAAGAGGAAGAAAAGGAATAAAAAGAAGAAGAAGAAGAAGAAGAAAGGTAAACAAAAGTTTTGGAAACTAGTGATGAATATCAGTAAAGTTTTTTGTTTGTTTTTTGTTGGACTAAATGTTAAGTATCGGATGACTTTTATTGAACTTTTAAAACAAACAAAACAATAAAGAGTAAACAAATAAAGAGATCATCATCAATGAAATAGGTTACCATATACCTTACCATATACCTTTATTCTACTTATAATAATCATAATAGTTTATAGGATATGTTAATGATTATAAATTCTTTTACACCTAATAACCTGATTTATTTTAGTTTATTAATAGTAAATGTCATAGATATAATGTATTATAATGAATATAAACTATGTGGAATATAGTTAGCAGAGATGGATAGTGGCTAGCAGTGGAATCCAGGACGCGCGTTTCGTCCTATTTGGGACTCGTCAGCTGGATGTACCTGCATCTCAGAGTTGATGTTCACTCTGGGACTCGAACCCAGTACCCTCGCTTCAAACGCCATCGCGTTATCCACTCGGCCACTGAGTCCTGATAGCCACTTGCTTGTGCGATGGGGTGAAGTTTAAATTCAACTTAGTATTGTTTGTTTGAATCTTCCCCATCGCACAAGCAAGTGGCTATCAGGACTCAGTGGCCGAGTGGATAACGCGATGGCGTTTGAAGCGAGGGTACTGGGTTCGAGTCCCAGAGTGAACATCAACTCTGAGATGCAGGTACATCCAGCTGACGAGTCCCAAATAGGACGAAACGCGCGTCCTGGATTCCACTGCTAGCCACTATCCATCTCTGCTAACCATGCTTGTGAATTAAGGTATATCGAGGCAATACGCACAGTATGCACATATGCCAATTAGAGACTGACCAGTTGCAGTCCTAACAAATCGATGGGAAGATTCAAACAAACAATACTAAGTTGTATGTGGAATATAATTTAATTGGTATACAAATTTGTTGAAATCATAAGTCAATTGAAACTAGACTAATATCGAAAACCTGAAAGCATTTCGTTCTATTATGGATTCCGGCTCAGTAGTCTATAGGTTAAGTGCTATGATGCAAGACTGGTAGGTCATTGGTTTGAATTTCGCGAGGCGGTATCATGGATGCGCATTGTTGAGGAGTACCGTAATAGGACGAAACGGCCTTTTAGTGTTTCCAAATTTTTTGATGGTGGTCTAGCTTCAATTGACTCATGATTTCAACTATGAAAATACTGAGATCTCCACAAAACTCTTTCTGAATTCAAATTTGTCCCATTCACAAGTTGTTGTTTTCGTTTTTCGGTTTTTATTTCTTGTTTTATTGAAATAATCGATTAATTTTTAGACTTACTTACTTACTTTCGCCTGTTACTCCCAATGGAGCATAGGCCGCCGACCAGCATTCTCCAATCCACTCTGTCCTGAGCCTTCTTTTCTAGTTCCATCCAGTTCTTGTTCATTCTTCTCATGTCTGTCTCTATTTCTCGGCGCAATGTGTACTTTGGTCTGCCTCTTCTCCTTTGAACTTCACGATTCCATGTGAGGGCTTGTCTTGTGACGCAATAGGGTGATTTCCTCAATGTGTGTCCTATTCACTTCCAGCACTTCATCCTGATTTCTTCCTCCGCTGGAATCTGTTTTGTTGTTTCCCACAGTAACTTGTTGCTGATAGTGTCTGGCCATCGGATCCGAAGTATCTCGCGTAGACAACTGTTAATAAACACTTGTATCTTCTGGATAATGGCTTTCGTAGTTCTCCACGTCTCCGCCCCATACAATAAAACTGTCTTGACATTTGTATTGAAAATTCTAACCTTGGTGTTGGTTGACAATTGTTTTGAGCTCCAGATGTTTTTCAGTTGTAAGTATGCTGCTCTTGCTTTGCCGATCCTCGCCCTCACATCTGCATCTGATCCACCGTGTTTATCAATGATGCTGCCCAGATATGTAAAGGTTTCCACATCTTCCAAAGCTTCTCCGTCAAGTGTTATTTCATTGGTGCATATTGTATTGTATCGGAGAGTCCTGCTATTCCCTTTGTTTATATTGAGACTTACTGCTACTGAGGCTGCTGCTACACTGGTCGTTTTCTCCTGCATTTGTTGTTGCGTTTGTGATAGAAGAGCCAGATCGTCCGCGAAGTCTAGATCGTCAAGTCGCATCCTGCCTGTCCACTGTATCCCGTGCTTTCCTCCAGATGTTGACGTCTTCATGATCCAGTCGATCACAAGGAGAAAGACAAAGAGTGAGAGTAAGCAACCTTGCCTAACAGCAGTCTTTACTTAAAACGAGTCGGTGAGTTGTCCTCTGTGGACGATTTTGCAGTTTAGTTCATCATGGGAGTTCCGTATGATGTTGACTATCTTCTCAGGCACGCCGTAGTGTCGAAGAAGCTTCCATAGTGTCGTCCTGTCCACGCTATCAAATGACTTCTCGTAGTCGATGAAGTTGATGTAGAGTGATGAGTTCCATTCGATTGATTGTTCAACAATGATACGTAGAGTTGCGATTTGATCTGTGCACGATCTATCCTTACGAAATCCAGCTTGTTGATCTCGAAGTTGGGCGTCCACGAAATCCTTCATCCTGTTTAACAATACTCGGTTGAAGACTTTTCCTGGTATTGAGAGGAGAGTGATGCCTCTGTAGTTGTCGCACTTGCTCAGATCGCCTTTCTTTGGTATTTTGATCAGAAGTCCTCTTTTCCAGTCTGTTGGTACTTGTTCTTCGTCCCAAATCTTACTGAAGAGGATGTGTAGTGTCTTGGCAGTTGCTGCTACATTTGATTTCAGTGCCTCTGCCGGGATGTTGTCTGGTCCCGCTGCTTTACCGCTCTTGATTTGTCTAATGGCCATGCTGATCTCTTCAATTGTTGGTGGGCCAACATCGATTGGGAGGTCTGTGGGTGCTGCTTCGATGTTGGGTGTGTTCAGTGGAGCTGGTCGATTCAAGAGTTCTTTGAAGTGTTCTACCCACCTGTTTCGTTGTTCTTCAATGTCGGTGATTACTTTGGCTTCCTTGCTTTTCACTGGTCTTTCTCGCTTACGGTAATTTCCAGCAAGTTTCTTTGTCGTATCATACAGTTGTCTCATGTTTCCCTCTCTTGCAGCCTTTTCCGCCGTCATCGCTAAATCTTCCACATATTTACGTTTGTCGGTTCTGATGCTCCTCTTCACTTGCTTGTTTGCCTCTGTGTATTCGCCTTGTGCCTTGGCTTTTTCCGCTCTGGTTCGGCTGATATTGATTGCTGCCTTCTTGTTCCTCCTTTCTTAAATCTTATCCAGTGTACCAACAGCGATTCACTCCTTGTGATGGTGCTTCTTTTGGCCCAGAACCTCTTGACATGTTGAAACGATTGCCTCCTTGATACCTTTCCAGTTTCTCTCCATGGTAGTCCCCTCTCCATTGAGTAGATCGTGAAAGGCCTGGAACCTGTTGCTGAGAGCTATGTTGAATTTGTTGAGTTTGTCAGCATCTCAAAGAAAGGCCGTATTAAACTTTTGTGATGTTGTCCGCGCCGTTGTCCAGTGCTTCTTGAGTTTTAGTTTCATCTTGGCGACCAGCAAATGATGATCGGATGCTATATCAGCTCCTCTTCTGGTTCTCACATCCTCCATCGTCCTCCTGAACTTTTTGTTGATGCAGATATGGTCGATTTGATTCTGTGTAGTGTGATCCGGTGAAATCCAAGTGGCTTTGTGCATGTTTTTGTGTGAGAATATGGTGCCACCTATGACCAGTTTATTGAAGGCACATAGGTTTGCAAATCTCTCACCATTTTCATTCCTTTCTCCCAGTCCACGTTGTCCCATGACGTCTTCGTAACCAGTGTTGTCCATTCCAACCTTAGCATTGATATCGCCCATCAGAATTATCAGGTCCTTGGTTGGGCACTTCTCGACGATCGACTGCAACCTGTCGTAGAATTGGTCTTTAGCGTCTTCATCGTAGTCGTTGGTAGGCGCATAGCATTGGATGACGTTCATTGTAATGCCCTCTCTCTTTGTTTTGAAGGAGGCTTTGATGATCCTTGGTCCATGAGATTCCCATCCTATAAGTGCATTTTGTGCTTTTCTGTACAGCATCAATGCAACTCCTTGTGTATGTGGGGCATTTTCTTCTTCATGACCGGAGTATAACAGAAGTTCTCCTGAAGACAGTCGTTGTTGTCCAACCTGCGTCCAATGTGTTTCGCTGATACCAAGAACCTCCAGGTTGTATTTTCTCATTTCTGCAGCAATTTGGAAAACTCTTCCGGTCTCCCACATTGTCCGGACATTCCATGTACCTATAAAAATTGTTGCTCTGGTTGTAAGAAGGTGCATCGGCCTCATGACATCCGAAGGAACTCGGCTTTCATCATGAGACGTCATAATTATTCCTTCTACTCCCAGGGCAGAGTTTGAAAGGTTTGAATGATTTTTTCTGGTTAGCGTTTTTTTAGCGAGTTGATTTTCTACGGGATGGGGTCGCTAACCCCATGTCCAATTAATTTTTAGAAACTTAACAAAATTTTAAGATGAAATAGCCGTCTAGTTAAAGCATTTCTACAACTGAAGTACATATGCAACTCAAAACAACTGACACCCAATATCAAAGTCACAGTTTTTAATACGAACGTCAATACAGTGCTAATGTACGGAGCTGAAACGTGAAGAACTACTACATCCATCGTCAAGAAGGTACAAGTATTTATAAACAGTTGTTTAAGCAAAATACTCAACATTCAATGGACGGATACTATCAGCAACAGCGTTTTATGGAAGAGGACAAACCAGCTTCCATCTGTGTTGAGGAGGAAATTAAGAAAAGACGTTGGAAGTGGATTGGTCATACATTAAGGAAATCATCAATGTGCATTGCAAGGAAAGCGCTAACCTGGAATCTGGAAGGGAAGCGGAAAAGAGGAAGGCCAAAGAACATATTACGTCGAGAAATAGAGGCAGATATGAAAAGGATGAATAACAACTGGGAAGAACTGGAAAGAATTGCCCAGGGCAGAGTTGGATGGAGAATGCTGGTGAGCGGCCTATGCTCCTCGACGAGGGGTAACAGGCGTAAGTAAGTAAGTAAGTAAGTAAGTCGTTCAGTGCTTCCAGGTTTTCCATGATGGTCTAGTTTCGATTGACTCATGATTTCAACTACATAAAAATTTTATGTTACGATAAGAATAATGAATGATTGCTTTTAAGAACTATTTATGGACAAATATGATGCGTATATTTCCTATTGTATAGTTGTTAAGTAACTCAACTATTCATATTTATGTTCCTCTTATTATAAGCTTTATTTTGACCCATAGACTACTACTGTACGATTTACCATTCCTGAGTTACACCCAGTCTATTAATTACTATCTCCCTTATTCACTTCCAAATTTGGCTAAGTTTTGTACAAATGTTAGTTCCTATTTTATGGTACGATGTGGTCAGTTTTATTGGTATATAAACCGAGTTTGTTTGAAATAATAATTCATATTGTAGAGGGTGTTATTAGTGTTCTGGACTTAACTGGCTGGTCTAGAGAGCAAGCAGGAGCAACAAGTATTCTAGACTGTTCGTGTGTCATTGGTCCGATCAATAAATCACTGATCTGTAATTGGCGGTATTATCACGTTATACATTAACAAGGCATTCAAGTAACAGGTTATAACAGAAAACTAAATGTTTATAATAATCAGATGGGAGAATACTGAATCATGCTTTTCCACAATCCCATATGAATTAGCTCTGAGAACTTTCAGGGTTCCTATAATACTGTAGTGAACAAAACATGAGTGGGGACAATCGAATATATTTTTGCACAGCACTACGGAATATTTCACTAAAATCTGATAACCATACAGCAAGCAGTTCATTTACAAAATAACAATCGATTATTTCAATCTTGACTGTTTCTTCTGCAAATATCCATCAATAGTCTCCGATTATAATTGTTCATGCATTTTCATACCAATTCCATGCCTTTCCCGTTCTCTTCCCTATCGATTTTCTACTGAACAATATTCCATGCCCGACCATCACTATATACTACTTATGTGGATATCAGTAACCCACACCATAGTACTAGTTACTTTTAAAAGATTAACTTGTAATCCAGTCATTCATAATTCCTAGCAGTTCATGATTATCATTCATCATTATAATGAATCCTATAGCAACATCATCAAATTGTCTATTGTATTCATTACTGAACTGGAAGCGGATATTCATTGTGAACCTAAGGATGAGACTATAATTGATGTACAACCTTTCAGCAAAACCAAAGTGACTTTCATTCTATTACATTTAAAAATTAAAAATAAAAAAAATAAATTTTCTGCCACAAAAAAGTTTTTTTCAATTTCCTTTGTTAAAAAGTGGTCTATCGGTTAAGGGCTCTGGCTCGAGACCGGTAGGTCCTGGTGTGGTATGGTCTACTTATATTCATATAAGTAGTATATTGTGTGGGTCAGACATGGAATGTATTTTGGCAGAAGACCGATGAGGAAAGAACTGAAATGAAGCGTAATCGTTTGGAAAATGTTCACTACACTGGGTTCGAATCTCGTGAGTGCGGGATCGTGGATGCGCACTGCTGAGGAATCCCACAATGGGACAAAACGGTTGTCCAGTGCTTCCAGGTTTTCCATGTTGGTCTAGCTTCAATTGACTCACGCTTTCAACTATAGAAATAAAAATGTTTTTTTAATCATTCATTAACTTACTGTTTCAAAGAAAATCGATATATTCCCATTCACATGTAATGTGCATATTATTTTAGCTGAAAATTATAAAGAAAATTAATATATAATAATACTAATGACTATTATATATTCTGATAAGCCCCCGAATGCCCTGATAAGGCCGAGAGTAGCGAGAGTCCGCTCTCCCTCTCCAAATGCTCTCATATGGCCACGCGTAAATAGCCTCTGTCAGGGAAGTCCTACTCACTGCCTTCTCGTGGAATTACTGTTGTTTACAAAATTGAGAGGACGAAAAGCGAATGTCCGGCGCTTTAACCGGGGAATTGGAAAACCCTGATTCCAAACCAATGGTGCACATGGGCTCCAATATCCTGATGGAACAAATGGCGTATGAATCAATTGTTGGTCACCGGCTACCATAGGACTGCATCTCCTAACGATGCTCTACTACCTTGTGGATCAGATCTTTAGGTCAAAGGATCAGGGTGTGGTCCTCTAAGAAAATCACCTGCTTCAGTTTGGACACCTGGGCAGATTTACAACCCTAACACAAATCGAATGAGATTTGTGTGGCGCATATGTATCTGGTGCTTCCTTGTACCAATATTTATGTGTCTAAATAAATAAATAATTCTCATAAAGATTAATTTCTAGGATCTATTTCTGCACTGTTGATCATCGCCAACCACCATCTTATCTTAACATAGTGCACAAAGTGTCGAGTCACTTAGACTAGTGACCATATTGCAACTTGATCGATAGTATTCGATGTGCACTAAGAAGGACTAGACAGGCATGACATTGATCACCACCCACTGATTAATCAATTGTGACTATTATTATACATGTATATTCTTACTGTGTAACTAATAAGTAACTATATTGTATGTGATGTGAACAGAGAAACAAGGAAGCCGTAACAAACTATGGAAGCTACAGTTTGGGGGATGTTATTTCATTTAATTCAAAGCTTGTAAAACAGTACCATCTACTTTTTTTTCCTAGTCTATTCTACAGATCATAAGCTTTCGTTTGATGTATGATTCACTGTCATAGCCTTTTCTGTTCCAAAGCTATTGTAATTTAGACGTAATCTTCTGTATTCTATTTTCTAATCTAATCCCCCAGTTTTGGACATCATTGTGCTTTCCTAGTTGTTGTACATTGCGGTCAAGTTAGTCATCTATTTATTTATGTATCTTTTTTTTACACTAATTTGAAATTTGGGTACCAGATCGGAATTTGGAATAAATCGAGTAGTGTTCTAGTTATTTTGTCTTCTCTCACGCGTACGTGCTCGTCAGTCAATCAGGTGATGGAATAGTTTTCGTCTCTCTACTCCCACTTCGATTTTACACATTTTAGCCTCAAGGTTAAGCCAGTCAGCCCATGGCATCAAGAACTTAATCTAAATTAGACAAGTTATCCTCTTCACGAAAGTGGGTCGACAGATCAATGACATAACAGTATGTATATTCATATTTCTTTTATTATAAGCTTCTATTTAGTCTACTGACTACTATTATATGATTTACTATTCTTAAGTTATACCCATTTTATTATTAACAGCCTCTTACAATGATAGCCACTTTTTGACTTGATTTTATACTAATGTCATTTTTTAGTTTATGTTATGATGCCGTCAGGTTTGTTTGTATATAAACAAAGTATGTCTGAAATATATGTGATTTATAAAGTGAAAGACGATACCGGTATTTTGGACTTAACAGGCAGAGTATAGGCAAGAAGGATCAATAAGAATTCTAGGCTTCTCAAAACCGGTCAACATGCGATTGGTTTACCACACTGTTAAGACTATATAAGTCGTGTTTTCTGATTGGCAATATTATCAAGTGATCATTACGAGACAATACAGTAACAGAAAGTCATATATCAATGATATAGTTGATATCTTCCCAAACAATCCATTTGTTTTCATCGGTATCCTATTCGACTCTTTCAAGAATTTTAAACATTCAAATCAATATGATACATAGTTAGCCTAAAGCTAAAGTATAAGATTAAAAGCATTATTTTAGTATACCGCAAATATAATAAAAATATTTTTCATAAATGTCTGTAAACTATTTTGGCTTATGATCATCGGTCACGTAGGTTAGTCGCCAAATGGATTAATAGAATTCAGTCGGCAATATGAACTAGACAAATGTGACTCAAGAGTGTTACTCAGTTACTATTCAATGTAAATATCTCATTCATATAAAAGCTTTATTCAAATATAAGTCGATACATTAAAAAGTCAAGCTGGATATCATTCGTTCAAACTGTCATTATCTTCAACATTTTTGACAAGCCTACTGAGAATTGTCAACTAGGTTGAAATCTTTATACCACATTCATAACACACACACACACTATATATGTATATATGTGAAATAAAGTGTATCAATTGAAGCTAAGAAAATACTAAAAAACCCTTCTGATAATAATAATAATCATATGCTCACTAGTCACTGACTTCAAGAGGTAAATCTAGGAGTTCTAATGAGAAGCAGTGACCAGTGGAGTTCAAACCAAATCTGTTGTGAGATATCAACTCACTGAAGACAATTGGTGAACGGTTGCTCAAACTTCATGGATTGGTTGAAGTTAGACATTAACACTGTTGGATGCCGGCTCAGTGGTCTATCGGTTAAGTGATCTGGAGTGAGACTGCTGGGTCCTAAGTTTGAATCTCGCTAGTGCGGGATTATGAAAATACTAAATCTCCACAAAAAACCCCTTCTGATAACAAAAATAAAGTGTACCCAAGAATAATGCATACCTTTTTCTTCCATTTCTATTCCATGTGCATTGAAAATGATAAGATTAGGCCACCTTATTGTTAGAAGTTTGTCTAGAAATGCAGTAAAATTGAATCTGATTATTAGTAGTATATTTAAGTAGAAGAAATTAACTTTCCAATTTTATTCATAAATTTAATCATTTATAATTGTTGTTGATTTGTATCTTCCAATTGTTATTTAGGACTGTAATCAGCACAGGATGCACATATGCCAACATGTGACTGATCAGTTGCAGTCCTTAACATCAACGGGAAGATTCAAACAAATGCTAACAAGTGAAATTAAACTTCACCGCATTGCACAAGCAGGCGGCTAACACGATTCAGTAGCTAAGTGGATAATGTGATAACGCTTGAAGCGGATGGTACTGAGTCTGAGTCTCAGAGTGAACATCAACTCTGTGATGCAGGTACATTCAGCTGACGAGTCCCAAATAGGACGAAACGCGCGTCGTGGATTCCACTGCTAGCCACTAACCATCTTTGTTCATATGTCTATTTTACCCTAATTATATATAACAATAACTCCGCCTGTAGCTCTTCTAGAGTTACTGCCGGTCCCAAGCCCACACAAAGGAGGAGTGTTGGACATGGGGTTAGCGACCCCATCCCGTAGAAAAACTAACTCGCTAAAAAAACGCTAACCAGAAAAAAATAATTCAAACCATTTAAACTCTGCGCTGGGAGTTAAAGGAATAAGCAGATATGTAAAGGATGAATAACAACTGTAAAGAAGTGGAAAGGATTGCTCAGGACAGAGTTGGATGAAGAATGCTGATGGCCGGCCTATGCTCCTCCATGAGGGATAATATTCGTAAGTAAGTAAGAAAGTATATATAACAATCCGGAGATTCCCCTGAACCCCAATGTATATTTAATCATGATTATAGTCATTCTAAACTAATTAAACTTTCAACAATTGAATAAATTGAATTAATCTCACCATTATGAATAACTTCCACATGACCGCTTTTCCCAACTCCATAGAATACTTTGATGCTTCCATGTACTGTTCCAGAATTCGATTCACCAATATTTATAAAACCTTGAATGAATGTAGAAAAATATTTAACAAACATAAAGCAGAAGAATATGAGTGCATCTGAGACTGACTCTATTGATTAAGGATAAATGATAGTTGAATGAGTCAGTTCATTCAGCTGATACAACTTTTTTCAATCTAGTTAACTTACGTTCAATGGTTGTTCAATTTCATGGATTGGTTGAAGTTAGACATTAACACCGTTGGATGCCAGCCAGCTCAGTGGTCTAGAGGTTAAGTGCTCGCGCGCGAGACTGGTAGGTCCTGGGTTTGAATCTCGCGTGGCGGAGTCGTGGATATGCACTGCTGAGGAGTCCCACAATAGGACGAAACGACCGTCCAGTGCTTCTAGGTTTTCGATAGTAGTCTGGTTTCAAATGACTCATGATCTCAATTATATAAAAAATTATGTCTAATCGTCTAATCATAAAAATCAATAAAAATCACATAATATATCTAACTTTACTACAGTCATAACCTAATCTAAGTTAGACCACTATCGATAACCTGTGGGCACTGAATGGCTATTTCGTCTTCGTATGGGACTGCTTAGCGTATTCAGGAAGTTACTCACTGACGAAAATGGAAGATGATTATTTAAAGTCATGAACTCATTCAAGTTAGATATTAACACTCGGTTTTCCAATCAGCGGTCTAAAAGTTAAAATCTCACTCTTCAAAACAAATGTCCTGGGTTCGATGTCTGTATGTGTGGTCGTAGGTGCTCACTGCTTTAAAGTCCCATTCTATGACAAAACGGTCAGCCAGTACTTTCACCTTTTTAATATTGGTCTAACGTTGATCAAATCTTGAGTTCCATAAAACTCAATAATTTCCACAATCAACTACCTAAGAGTTATAGTAGTTTGTTGTTATGTAGTAACAAAAAGTATTCATTTTAAAATTTACACCAAATAGTTCATCTTAACATTGGCACATTGTTTTCTTAAAATTAACTAAAACTATTCAGCGGATGACACGTTTTATTAATTAACCGAATTTCATTTTGAATTTTTAAGATTTTAAAATTTCTAAATATAATTCCATAGTTGAAAGCGTGAGTCAACTGAAGCTAAACCACCATGAAGAACCTGGAAGCACTGGACGGCCGTTTCGTCCTATTGTGGGACTCTGCAGCAGTGCGCATTCATGACCTCACCTCGCGGAATTCGAACCCAGTACCTACCAGTCTCGCTTCAGTTGACTCACGCTTTTAACCATGAAAATATTTAATTTCCACAAAACCCCTTCTGAATATAATTCCACTTATAGCTCTTCTATACTTACCAGCGGTCCTAAATCCGGATAAAGGTGAAGGATTGGTCATAGGGTTGACAACCCTATACCGTAGAAGAAAATCTTACTAACCAAATTAAACAAGTAACTAGTTAAAAATAGCTATTTATATATGAGAAGTTAACGTATTGTGGGACTCCTCAGCCGTGCACATCCACTACCCGCCTCACGAGATTCAAACTGAGGATCTATCGGTCTCACGCGTGAACACTTAAACTCTAAATCACTGAGCCGGCATCCAACAGTGTTAATGTCTAACTTCAAACTAATCCATTAAATTGAGCAACTGTCTCACACTAGGATGAAACGGCCGTCTATCGTAGTCTAGCTTCAATAGATGAGTAATACATATAAGTAACATCTTTAGTGTATTACTCAATGTATAAATGAAAAAGAGTGATTTCTTACATATTATGTAATTCATTTACAGAATTAACTTGATCATATATCATTCTTAATTATATATGAAATCAATTCAATAAATAACCTGTGTAAACAGTAATACTGACATAAAGCTTATCCCCCCTTTCCTCCCCCGACCAAAAAAAAGGAAAAAACCATTGTTACTAACCGTTTGATGAAATTTTAACTATTTTATGATATACACCATAAAATTTTATTGGAAACTTTGTATCCATATGCTGTATATATATAAAAAGAAGTTAGTTAATTACTAGAAGCCAATGGAAACAAAACAATTTACCAAAGGTATATCTGGTATTAAAACAAGTTTTTCATAATTCCCATAATGAATTGATGATGGTTGATTGAATTTAATTAATTGTATATAATTTGAATGTTTTAACTAAAAAAAAATTTAAAAAAAATTTTTTTTTGGGTATTTGTCCCAGCAACTAACTTGTTTAACTGAATCATTTTCAAAAGTGAAATTTAAAGGTATCCCAGTAACTAATTGAAGAATTGAATAATTGAATAATAATGATAATAATAATAATCCAATAAAATATAACCAGATTCCTAATATAGATCTAAAAAAAAAATAGAAAAAATATAAATAAATATGATGTTAAATAGATGAGATCATGAATCAATTAAAGCTAGACCACCATGAAAAACTTGAAAGCACTGGACGGCCGTTTCGTCCTATTATGGGTATCCTCAACAGTGTACATTCACGATCCCACCTCGTGAGATCCAAACCCAGGACATATCAGTCTCACGGATGAGCGCTTAACCTCTAGAACCACTGAACCGGATGGTATCCAACAGTGTTAATGTTTAACTCGTTAGGCAGGATCATGGATGTACACTGTTGAGGAATCGTACAATAGAACGAAACGACCGTCTAGTGCTTCCAGGTTTTCCATGGTTATCTAGCTTCAATTGAATTATGATCTCTTATAATATTCATAAAACCTATTCTAATATTAAATATAAATTTAGTTAATTAAAATATACTACTTACTTAATATTTAATTTATTTGTCATGATTATGAGGGTGTTAAAATATGATTCAAGTGTATAATCCTTGATTATTATAGTTTATATATTATCATATTGTTTTGTTTAGATAATTGAAATCACCAATTAGAATTAAAAACATTTCATATATAGACTTAGCTAAGAAGATGTTGTCTATACTAGTATTGTGAATTATTGAATGAATGTATATTGTTTAACTGTTAACTAATTTCATAGTGAGAATTTTTAAGACAGTTAGTTCTATTGTACGCAGATGAAACGTGGAGAACTACTACAACCATCATTGAAAAGTGTACAAATATTTATAAACAGTGGTCTACACAAGATACTTAATATCCGTTGTCCGGATACCATCAGGAACAGAACAAACTAGCTTCTATCTGAAGAGGAAATTAGGAAAAGACAGTGAAAGTGGATCGTAGAAACATTAAGAGAAAATCATTTAAGTGCATCACGAGGCAAGACCTAACATGGAATCATGAAGGGTAACAGAAAAGAGGAAGGCCAAAGAACAAATTACTTTGAGAAATAGATGCAGATATGAAAAGAATGAATAACAATTAGAAACGATTGACTGGGACAGGGTTGGATAGAGAATTCCGGTGGGTGTCCTATGCTCCTCGACGATGGATAACATGCGTAAGTAATTAAGTATGCTGTTTAACATTAGTCATATTAGTTCAACATTCTATAAATGACCTTGATCGAAATAAACCCATAATATATATGAGGTATCAGTGACAAATTGGATACAATATTCATTGAAAATACACATCAGTATTCGTTTGATAAAAGTTTTACGGTTATTCATGTATTTTTCTTTACTGAAACATCTTCCACCCTATTTCATCCAATTCAATAATTAGTTTCAAATAGGCGATAATTGGTTATTCATTTATGAAAATTTATGCTAAATGTAAATACTTCATGACTGATCAATCTCTATTCAAACTACGAACATAAATAATGTACAAAGTACAACGTCTATCGTTTCACACATTGACACTAACAGCGGTAACGTGTTCTTCAGTACATTGTATCTCATTGTTATGAATTATGAATGGTAACTTTGTAAATTATTTATGGACCAATGTGATATCTATATTTCTTATTGTATAATTGTTAAATAACTAAACTATTCGTATCTCTCTTATTATAAGCTTATTTTGACCTATAGACCATTATTATACGATTTACCATTGTTGAGTTATCCCTAGTCAATTAATTACTTTTCCCCCTATTCACAGCCACATTTGGGAAAATTATATACAAATGTTATTTTCTATTTTATAGTACGATGTGGTCTGTTTGTTTAATATAGACTGCTCATACGGTTTTTCGAGTATCATTGCTCTGATGGATAATTCACTTCTCTCTCATTGGCGGGAATCAGCACGTTCATATATATCAACTGGTCAGGAACCCGCTGAACCTATATAACACTAATAACGTTCCAATCAGTTGAAGTATTAAACAACGTAATCAGAATTTATGAGAAGACGATGTACAGTCATTATGCAGTTCACGGTTCTCATTTCCATAAGGATGAAAAACTGTATATTCAATTTGTATATACACATAGAAGATCCTCACAGACGATTAGAAGAAGGAAGTGGTTCAAATAATGTTGTTATAATTCTGTTCATGAAGAGATGCAATCAACACTCAATGTCCGACATTCATCTACTGTAAGTTTATTGAAGATTACTGGAGAGTTGTTCGATAGAATGTGCACCACAATCATGAGTTTAATTCCTTCACGTACGAAAACAATTCCTGAATGTGCAGGTTGACCGTTATGGAATTTGAAACAGTGTTACCTCTTCTGATTTGTGAGACAGTAGTATTCAACATTTTCTAGTTCGTTTACCAATGTTATGGAAATCAACTGAATCCATAAATGTTTTTAACATGTCACAAAATGTTCTCTCAGATCAATCTTCGAAGTGAGCAATGTGGCTACTTATATTGTAAATAGTAGGTGAATACGTCAAATTGAAAGCCCTCATCATTTCTCAACTATCGAACCGACGTGGATTCGTATGCTATATTAAGTCATTAAGAAGAAAAGATTTTTTAAATAAACTCAGAAGAATTCATTGACAGAGACAACAACACAGATGACATGTTCACGACAACAGACTGCGTGACATGTAATCTTCCTCAGCCTCCAGGTAAATATGATGTTGAAGGCACTTGGATCTTTTGTTGCTGCTGTAGCAGTAAGAAAATGCCCAAAATCAATAGCTCTGTAAGTGTTCGACATTGGATGCTGACCACATTCAATTTAATGGACTCACCTAGCTGAAAGTGCTCAGTGATGCATCCGCACCAGATCACGATATATCGATATATCCCTTATTCACAAGCATTATAAGCAAAGATGGATAGTGACTAGCAGTGGAATCCAGGACGCGCGTTTCGTCCTATTCGGGACTCGTTAGCTGGATGTACCTCTATCTCAGAGTTGATGTTCACTCTGGGACTCGATCTTTGCATATAATGCTTGTGAATTAAGGCTATATTGAGGCAATACGCACAGTATGAACATATGCCAATAAGAGACTGATCAATTGCAGTTCTTAACATCAATGAGAAGATTCAAACAAACAATACTAAGTGAATTCAAACTTCACCCCATTGCACAAGCAAGTGGCTATCAGGACTCAGTAGCTGAGTGGATAACGCGATGGCGTTTGAAGCGAACGATACTGGTTTCGAGTCTGGGAGTGAACATCAACTCTGAGATGCAAGTCAATAGTATCAATTCATGTTTTAGTTATACCAACGTTTAATTTCGGTGTAATAAATAAAAGCCTATATTTGTCTGGGTGAACAATGTAAAAAACATCCAGCTGTGTACTTTTAAACTCATACTTCCATCCAATATCCAGTCTGAAGAAACACACTGAATTTAGATCTTAGCACGGTTGTTTTTTGTATAAAGTTTGTGCTGCTTCAAAACTGAAAGTTCGTATTATTTTGTTCAAGGAATGTTGTGGGAGACTTAAACTCATTGGACCATTTGCGTTTCTTAAGCAACGACTAATCTCTTATATATCAGTAAAAGTTCCCTTTTGATGCTTCAATAAATGAAAGGTAACTACGGAAAGTATAAAAGACTGTCATGTCTAAATATTTTTATCTACTTATCCACTTCTGGAATGAACATCAGACGAAGGAATAGTTATATAACTTCAGGCAGCAGTCTCTACAATTAGAGTTTAAGGTTAATGTCAGTCAATGAATAACTTATCCTATTTATAACATTGCGAATGAGGTGTACACGACATAAAATGTGGTGAGAGTTTGGATACACTTGCGCTATGGTAGCAGCTATCAAAAATGAGTCATCTGTGGCAATACCAACCAACTCTCGATTGTTAGTCGAGTGCATGAAGAATTAGAGAAGTTGTGACAGCAAAGCACATGTTTCGTAACTCATGAAGGCTATACAATCAGGTATTGCTACTCAATTCATATCTAATGCAACTATTTGGTTCAAAAATAAACTTCTGTTCTCGGTTTGGTAGGCCCCATCAAAACCAACAGCATCAAGAAAACGAGCTGCCAAATTCATTTGATCAGCAGTTGCGAAGAAGATAATTTTCTTCATCGATTACGTACTCACAAAACCCATCAAGTAACATAATGTGATCTTTCAATTTGACGTAATCACATACTATTTACAATATAAGTAGCCACATTGCTCACTTCGAAGATTGATCTGAGAGAACATTTTGTGACATGTTAAAAACATTTATGGATTCAGTTGATTCCCATAACATTGGTAAACGAACTAGAAAATGTTGAATACTACTGTCTCACAAATCAGAAGAGGTAACACTGTTTCAAATTCCATAACGGTCAACCTGCACATTCAGGAATTGTTTTCGTACGTGAAGGAATTAAACTCATGATTGTGGTGCACATTCTATCGAACAACTCTCCAGTAACCTTCAATAACTTTGGAAGGGGTGGAAAAATTCACGCATTTGGGTAGAATAATTAATGAACAAGGAGGATATAAACGCATACGTGGAGGCAATGATTCGCAGTGCAAGGACAGCATTTCTACGATTGAAAGTTACATGAGACTCAAAACAACTGTCAACCAACATCAAAGTGAGAATTTTTAATACAAACATCAAGACAGTCACACTGTACGCAGCTGAGACTTGCACAACTACCACAGCCATCATCAAAGATGTACAAGTATTTATAAATAATTGTCTACACAAGACACTCAATGTCCGTTGATCGGACGCCATCAGCAAAAGCCTAATGTCTGAGAGAACAAATCAGCTTTCAACTGAAGAGGAAATGAGGAAAAGATGATGGAAATGGTGGGTGGAACATACATAGTGGAAATCACCAAACTGCATGAACGGGCAAGCGCTAACTTGGAATACTGAAGGGAAACGGTGAAGATGCAGATCAAAGAACACATTGTATCGGGAGTTGGGAGCGTGAAAAAGATAAATAACAGCTGGGAGCAACTGGAAAGTTTTATCCAGTACAGGGTAGGATGGAGAATGCTTGTTGTTGGTCTATGCTCCTCCATGAGAAGAATTAATATTGAACGATCAACTCAAGTGTATTTATATGATATTTTGAGGCAAGTTTAGAAGTATAATTAGTATATTCAATGATTTTTCGTTGTTAATAACCGATCATATGAAATAGAGGTCTCAATTCTTATTTAATAGCTATTTAGATTCAATTTAAACATGATAAATCATATCACACAAAAATTACCATGTAAAAGAATGTGTTAGGAGGGCTTCCAAAAACGATGATGAAGCCTGCAGAGGTCCTAAAGGAGCCGAAAAATTTCCATCCAATCAGAACGTGATGAGGCTTTCTAGAATTTCAACATGGCACGCTACTAATGGACAGTAGCAAAACATTCCTCTTTGCGGATTGGCTGAATTATATTTTTAATATCTATAAATACCCGTGATTTACTGTACATTTTGATTCTTACTCAACTAGCACTTCTCCAGCCTTCTTCTATCTTCTGATTTTAGACTGTGGGGTTCTATATGTTCGAGTTCCGTAGTTTTATACCATATTCTGCGTTAATCAAGTAGCGAACTTAACAAAATTGATCATAATGCTTCAATGTACTCATTCTATCAAATACTTTCATTCATTTGAAAATGAAAAAAAAGGAACGTGAATAGAGGTCTTTTGAAGTTCACTGTTAATTTACCCTTTTCATATCAACATATGTCAATTAAATGTAGTAAAATAAACTGACGTTAATTTTTCATTGTACGTAATAGTGAAAATACCACCAGTATTATGGTTTGACAACTCTTTACCAGTAACACTTTCTATAATTGAATCGTGCCTCACCCAGTTAAAATCAGAAGTCAAAAGCGAAGATGTTGGAAGATATATTTGATGCGTTATCAATATATCGTGAAGCGATTGATCTAATCTGGCTAATGATTGTAGGAGATGTTTCCTACGCTGTGGTGTAACGTGATCTAGTGCGAATGCATGATCAAACGCCTTCAGCTAAACAAGTCCACTAAAACTAATGTGGTCAGCATCCAATGTTGAACACTTAAAAAGCTATTAATTTTGAGGAATTATTTACAGCTACAATAGCAACTACTATTAATTTCCTATACATTCTGTTTAATGACCATTTAAAATAAAAAATTTGGAAGAACAGTATATTCATAAAACCCTATCCCTGAATTTCAAGTGAAGAGATAGAACTACCAGTTCTTGTTGTAGTTTTGTTCCCTGAGTTGGATAGTTTGGTCATTTCGCTTTTATTACTTTTCTAAACAACATCATCAGTTCAATATTCAAATGAAACTGAAGTATTCAGAGGCTATTATTAGTGTTCTGAACTTAACTTACTGGGCTAAACAGATAGCAGGACTGATAAGTACTCAAGACTGCTTATACGGTTTTTCATGTATCATTGCTCTAATTGATAATTCACTCCTCTCTAATTGGTGGGAATCAGTACGTTCATCTATCAAATAGGGCACGTACGCAACCACACGTTATAACATGAAGTAAGTTCAAATAAACAAAGTGTTAATTAAACTATAACTATAACACATAAATATTTACTATTACAAAAATTCAAGTTGACCTTCAATGTTTATAAACAAAAAAACAAAAAAAAAAGAAAAAAATGTGTATGTTTTTCATTAGTATTCATCTTCAAGAATGTATATACAATCAATGAGTAAACTAACCTCCGTCCCCCCCCCGTTGATTGGTATTTTATAGTAAATTATTTTCTTTAAAAATTTTTTTTTCTATTTTCAAGGTCATGTTTACTTGAATTCAATTAAAACAACCATTTTCTTGGATGAAAATCAACCAAACAACAAAAGAAAAGATTCTATTGGTTAGTTCAACAAGAACAATACAAATTTGAAGATTATAATTAGTCTATAACAGAGAAATTTTATTTCTTCTTCTAAGGATTATGTAACTAAAGTGTATTATTTATGAGTTATATTAATGATTCTATAATATATTTATAATATTATTTTTTTGATGTTTCGTAACTCAAGGTAAGCCATCATCTTCAGAGCATTCGGTTATTGATTCTCTGAAGAAGTCGGCTTACATTGAGTCACGAAACGTCAAAACAAATCTAATTTATCTTCTCATTCAGATATTACAAATATATTAATTTATCAAATCAGAACATGGTAATGATATCTACTTATTGGTTAAAGTTAGACATTAACACCGTTGGATGACAGCCAGTTCACCGGTCTATTGGTTAAGTGTTCGAGTGCGAGACTATTAGGTCCTGGGTTGGAATCACGTGAGGTGGAATCTTCGATGCGCACTGCCAACGAGGAGGCTCATAATGGGATGAAACGGTGATTTATTGCATTCAGGTTCTCCATGATAGTCTAGCTTCAATTGACTCATGATTTCAAGTATATGTTTACTTATATAATTGATTATATAATATAATATGGAATGATTATTACTTCGGTGAGGATTGGCAAAGCAAGGGCAGCATTTCTACAATTGAAGAACATATGGAACTCAAAACAACTGTCAACTAACTTCAAAGTGAGAATTTTCAATACGAATGTCAAGACAGTCCTACTTCGACAACTACTACATCCATCATCAAGAAGATACAAGTACTTATAAACAGTTGTCTACACAAAATACTCAACATTCACTAACCGGATACCATCAGCAACATTTTCTGTGGGAAAGGACAAACCAGCTTCCATCTGAATAGGAAATTAAGAAAAGATGTTGGATATGGATAGGACATACATTAAGGAAATCACCAATGTGCATCACGAGGCAATCCCTAACTTGGAATCATTAAGGGAAGCGGAAAAGAGGAAGGCCAAAGAACACATTACTTTGAGAAATAGAAGCAGATATGAAAAAGATGAATGTTAACTGGAAGGAACTGGAAAGGATTGGTTGGGAGAAGGTTGGATGGAGAATACTGATTAGCCGCCTATGTTCCTACACGAAGGGTAACATTTGTAAGTAAGTAACTTAGTAAGATTATTACTTCAATCCATTCGATTTATATATATACACATATTTTTCTTTTTTGTATAAATAGATAGATCGATCTATGTTTCACAAATTGAATTGGATCATATCAATATGGTTTCTATCTATCTTACTATTATTATGTAACTCTTTATTAACTAATCAATTAATCAATAATATTCATTTTACTATGATCCATGAAAAATTAATTTTTTCTAATCAATCAATCAATCAAGTAAGTTTTATTGATTTATTGATTATCATCTTAATAATAATAATCAATAATAATTAATAGTCTAATCGTTATTATTATATAGAATTGATTAAAATCAATCAATTATGTCCAATCTCATTTAATAATGCTATCTATACAACAATTAATGAAGAAGAAACTTTGGTAAGTGATTTAAATTTTTTTTTGGTTTTTTTTTAAAGAAAAAAAAACAAACAAAAAAAACTTTTTTTTTTTTAGATTATCAAGCCAAAATTTCAATTTTTTTATTATGGATTACCATATGAATCTATAGAAATATTAATAAATGGTAAGTGAACTATTATTCTTAATAGGTCATGATTATTTCTATGTATCTTTAGTAATATTATGTTGATTGATATTTTACTTTTCCGTTTAATGATTGAGATAAGATGGTTGTTTGGAGGTGGTGGAAATAGGAAATCCTGGACTAGGGTTTCGTGTTACTTGGCACTCGTCAGCAAGGTGTATCTGTAATCTTGAGTGAAGTGATACTCCCAGATGGATTTGATCCCTTGTAACTCAGCTTCACAATCAGAGACGTTACCACTGAGCTATTCGGGCCACGAACGACCTCCTATAGGACTGTGACATAATCACAATTGATTGATCACTGGGTGGTGATCGACGTAATGCGTGTCAAGTCCTTCTTAGTACTGATCAAATGCTATCGATCAAGTAGCAATGTGACTGCTAGTGTAGGTGGCTCGAAACTGCCTGTACTATGTTGAGATAAGATGGTGGTTGAAGGTGATCAATAGGAAATCCTGGACCAAGGTTTCTTGCTACTTGGCACTCATTAGCAAGGTGTACCTGTCATCTTGAGGGAACTAGTGCTCCCTGATGAATTTGTTCCCATGTCACCCAGTTTCACAGGCAGAGATGTTACCACCTAGACTAGTGGCTATATTGCAACTTGATCGATAGTATATGATCAGCACTAAAACGGACTTGACATGCATGACATTGATCACCACCCAATGATCAATGAATTGTTTAATTATTATCATATCACTTTCTATCATACAAAAAACGCAAATTATTTCAAGTTTTATAGTTCAAATCATCAGTCAGTTGAAGCTACAGTACCATAGAAAACCTGGCCTGGTATAGGGCTCCTCAGAAGTGCGCATCCACGATCCCGTCTCGCGAGATATTTCCTGGAGTTCTAGTCAGAAGCCGTGACCAGTAGAGTACAACCACAACTGTTGTGACATAGTAACTCACTGAAGACAATGATGGGTGTGGATAAGTTGAAGTTAGACATTAACACTGTTGGATGCCAGCCGGCTCAGTGGTCTAGAAGTTAGGCATTCGTACGCGAGACTGATGGGTCCTGAGTTCTACTCTCGTGAGGCGGGATCATGGGTGTGCACTGTTGAGAAGACCCAAAATAAGATGAAACAGTCGTCCAGTGCTTCCAAATTTTCCATGTTGGTCTACCTTCAATTGATTCATGATTCCAACTACAAAATTACTAAAAATCTCCACAAAAAACCCCTTCTGACATTTCAAGTTTTGTTTGATTTCTTGTACATAATTCAAAGTTTCTATGTTTGCATTTGGACTAATTTAAATATGTTTCATAATAAGGTTGACATTATTGTTAATAAAAGTAGTGACAATCAATCAAAATTATTGACAAGGATTTATATGCATAGTCTAACAATGGAATAGAATACTTCTGTCAGGTAAGATAGACCTAGACCTAGACCGATCATCGCTAGACCCCTGATGGAGACCCTGGAAGAACTGGACAGCCGTTCAATCTTAGTACAAGAGTCAATGTTAGGCAACCACACATCCAGATATTGAATCAAGTATCTTCAGTTTAGCAAAGACACTGAATCTCTAGACCACTGAGCCAGCATCCAATGATGTGTACGTCTAATTTAAGTCAATTCGCGATATCGCGCAATCATCTTCCATTGTCTACTGTAGATAACACTCTCACACCTCATATGGTTGAACTATAATGGTTACAGCTTCTCAATGGTACTCCAGGAGTTATATCTTAAAACCAGTCATTATTGAATACACTGATTAGTGTGGGGGGATTTATGGAGATTATTGAATTTAAAAGATGAAACTGTACTTGATAATTTGCAACATATAATCAAGTGAAATAAATTTAGGAAGAGAAAAAAGAAAGATAGGGACACAAAGAATTCAGAAGATTATAATTTGGTAGGACACAAAGAGTGGATGCACCTTCGCCATTGCAAACGATTTTGAGCCATGTCATTCAAGGTCTCTTACCATCGATTGCTATCATCTCGCGAATCCCAACCAGGTAGTCTACACCTACCAGCATGGCCCAGTCCACTTGTCAGTGACTTCATGGATTTGTGCAAAGTTTTGGTCTGTTCGCCCCCAGCTTTCTTCCAACCTACTCCTACACCATAAAACATTGCACGTCGGGGCAGTCGGTGGTTGGGAATATGTAACACGTGTCCCAGCCATCTCAACTAATGAAGTTTCACTACTTCATCAATCGATTTGCCATTCTTACCTAGTACACGTTTCCTAACAACTGCATTACTTACTCGGTGGACCCAGGATAAATGAGCAATACTCCGAAGACACCTATGATCGAATACAATTTTAACTATTGTAGTATTCATAAATCCAAATCATTTGATTTTCAATAATATTTTGGATTTTAGGTATCATAAGCCTATCCTCTGAAACCAATATATTAGAAACAGACAGAATAATTAGATCTTACAAAGGATTTACAATTGATTACGGTACGTCTGACTACTTAAATTAATTATATCAAGTTTCCTCTGCCACACTATCTGTCTTCACTTGTATTTGTTCCTGTATATGCAATAGCAGACCAATTTGTCTAAGAAGCACAAATTATTCATCAGTGTTTGAGATACCCATCATAGTGCATACCTCTCCTGAGATGGAGACCACTTCATAATCCAATCAACAATCAGAGGGGGGAAGGTGACAGTGAACAGCTTTGTCCGATACTAGTCTTTACTTGGAGTGCACGTGTGGACTGTCATCCATGACCGGATGTTAAATACAATTCGCCGTCAGAATTCCGTATGACTGTGACGATCTGCTCGTCTACCCTATAGTGTCGGAGAATATTCTCCTATCCATGTTGTGGAATGCTACCTCACAACCAAGTAATTCGGTATTTAGCGATGATTTCCATTCAGTTGATCGTTAAAAAACCAACCACGGTGTCTTAATTCAGTGGATACATGGTCGATTCGTACGATCACCAGATTGTTCACGTCAATGTTTGATGTCTATCGAATCTTTCATTTGGTTGAGTAACAGTTACCAGTATTGACTAGTACTGAGTGTAGTGTTACTCTTCTGTATCTCTTACACTCACTGAGATCTATTCTGTGTAGTATCTTGATGAGGTGACCATCTTTTCAGTCTGCTGGTACTTTTTTTCCTCACGGATGTTTGTGAGGATGCCATAAAACATTTTCGCAGTCACTTCATTATCTGACTCGAATGCCATGACTGGTATACTGTCTAGTTCTTAAGTCATTTTGTTTCTGCTTTGTCTAATCGCCACTCTCATTTCATGACCGTAACACAACAACAGCTCTCTCGAATCTATTGTTTTCTGTCCAATGGGTTTCACATAGTCCAAGCACCACCAGGTCTTATTTTGGTGAATACTACATATGTCGACAGATATAAGTAGTATATAACACCAATCAAAAGTGGAATTCCTGGCAGCAGAAGGTTCAGTAGATCGAACTGACGGCAAAAGGAATACAAACGAGAGTAATTGTAATAGTAACTGGAATGAGAGAATGATGAAGTTTGTCAGATTTTCCAAGAATCTTGATTTTCGCCATGAGATTTCATTATACCGCTAAAAGAAGATCCTTCAACTGTGAGAACGGTCTAAATGCTTCAGATGATTTTTTGATGTTAGCGTTTTTGATAAAGGATGTTTTCTAAGAGATGGGGTTGCTAACCTCATGCCTAAGCAACGTCCTTTATCCGGGCTTAAGACCGGTAGTAACTTCAGAGGGGCTTCAGCCGCAGTTATTGTGGAAAATTTATGTCTATAGAAGGATAGAAAAGATTGCATCATAAATTGATTCGAGACTCTCATTATCAAATGAGGTTATGCAATAATTGAGGGGTACTACAAAAGGGAATTAGGGTCAGAGAAGGAGAAGAGATTGGATATATCGTTTTTGCACGTAAAGTTCGAGCTTGAGTTGGTGGATTGCCAATTTCTCAGTGGTGCATAAGATTTTGATTCAACCTCCATTCAATTCAATTCCCTTTACTGTGAAGATTATTTTAAAAGAAGACTACATTGGAGTGATGTGTCCATAGTTGTCGTTGTTTTCCATTCTCCTTTTAAAAGACATAACGATTAGTGTTCTGAGATGAATTAAACACTGGTTATTAACCAGTGTTGAGGTGTCCGGTTTTTGAGTACCATTTAAATTGTATTAATTAATTAGCGGTGTGGTCATCTTTCTGAAGGAATTTACGCCATAAGTTATTTTGTTCAATTCTAAGTGACTTTAAATGGTCAGAACCTTTAACTGTTCATCAATAAACATTTAAAAAAACTGGTAATGAGTAGTTTACATCATCTGTATCATAAGGAAGCTTTCTACTAAATAAGCGAAGATGGATAGTGGCTAGCAATGGAATCCAGGACATGAGTTTCGTCCTATTTGGGATTCGTCAGCTGGATACACCTGCATTTTAGAGTTGGTGTTCACTCTGAGACTCGAACCAAGTACCGTTCTCTTCAAACTCCATCGCGTTATCCTCTCCGCTACTGAGTCCTGATAGCCACTACCTTGTGCAATGGAGTAAAGCTTAAATTCACTTGGTGTTGTTCGTTTGTATCTTCCCATTGATATTTAGGACTGCAATTGATCAATTTCATATTGGCATATGTGCATACTGCTTATAATGCTTTTGAATTAAGGCTGTATTGAAGCAGTACGCACAGTATGCACATATGCCAATAAGAGACTGATCAGTTGCAGTCCTAAACATCAATGAGAAGATTCAAACAAACAATATCAAGTAAATTTCTACCAAATACTTTTTAACAATATGGCATAGAAGTACTGTTAAGTCCATAAAGAAAAAAAGAAATATTTTGAACATTTAAAAATTTACTTACTTGCTTACTTACCCCTGTTACTCCCAATGGAGCATAGGCCGCCGACCTGCATACTCCAACCCACTCTGTCTTGGACCTTCCTTCACAGTTCTATCTAATTTTTGTTCATTCTTTTCATGTTTATCTCCATTTCTCGGGGTAATGTATTCTTTGCGCCTCCTGTTCTCCTTTGACTTTGATGACTCCATGTGAGGCCTTGTCTTGTGACGCAGTTGTGTGCTTCCCTACGCCTGTAGCTCCTCTGGAAGCGACTGCCGGTCCCAAGCCCGGACAAAGTAGGAGGGTTAGGTATGGGGTTAGCGACCCCATCCCGTTAAAAAACTGACTCACTAAAAAAAGCTAATCATAAAAGGAATTTAAGATTTTCTTTTTCAAACGTTCAAATACTACTAATTTATTACTATTTGTCAATTACTAGTTATTTATTATTACTTTTAAATGGATTATACTTCTAGCATGTAATTGGATGAATATGTATCAGACAGAAATAATTAAAGCTTTCAATGGAATACCAGTTGGGTGTGCAATAAAAACGATAAACAATGGTAAGTATAAAAAAGTTTACGATTTGAAAGGTTAAGAACTTGATTGAAATTGAAATAGTGAAGATGATTCGTTTGCTCAGGTGGATGATTTTGATGGAGTTTTATTCTCTGAGCTAGAAAATTTAGTTATGAAACTTTCATTGTTATTTTGAATGATATCACCAGCATTAATAAACCTAAATTAAAACTTTAAGTATATCCCAAACTACTTTACTAACCATTAGCCAAAATTACACTACTGCTACAAAACAACTATCAGGACTTCACTTCAGTGGGAAACAAAAGTTGAATAGAACTGAAAATAAAGGCCCACGACAGATTGAGTGGGTTGGAGAATGCTGGTCGTCAGCCTATGATCCATTTGGAGTAACAGGTGTTGGTATGGAAGTACAGAATGAACAGATTGGTGAAAGTGATGATCATGACCATGCTAATCATGATACAAACATTAATAATGATGATAATCATAGTTGAAGAGATTATACATTTTGTTGAAATGATAATCATACTCTTATTCACAATGAATGGTTATTACAACTAGTCTTATTATTCAGTTATACATTAACTTATTCTTAATCTATAGATGAATATCTGGCAATCGAATGGTCTTATTCAGGTTCTAACAATGAAAATAATACCGAAAATCATGGTAAGTTCAAATATATCACAATATTTGATACTCAATTGAGTGTGAAATTTCAATACCAAAATTTTTCTATTCATTTGTGTATTGTTTGTTTGAATCTACTCATTGATGTTTAGCACTTCAATTGAAGGGTCTCTTATTGACATTTGTGCATCCTGTACGGATTGTTATGGTATTGACTTAAGTAGGTAGCTAGCAGGTACACCCAGCTGATGAGTCTTAAATGAGACGAAACATCCATTGCTATTCACCATCTATCTTTATTAAAAATTTTCATTCAAAATGATCATTTCATTTATAATTTTCATAGTTGAAGTCATGAGTCAATTGAAGCTAGACCACTATAGAAAACCTAGAAGTACTGGACGACCGTTTCATCCTATTATGGGACTCCTCCTTCCATGGTGGTCTAGTTTCAATTGACTCATGACTTCAACTATGAAAATATTGAAATATCCACAAAAATCCCATCTAATCATTTATAATTGATGAATTAATAATCTATTCTCCAATTTTCAGTTCAAGTGGTTTGTGTTTTATATGCAAATGGGAACATATCAATCTATTTTAAAAAGGTAAGCTAAATAGCTTACTTAAATGATTCACCCTTTTGTATATTTTGAACGCAAATTATTTAATAGAATAATTATACTCAGATATAAACATGGTTCTTTCTTATTATTGTGAAGATTAGCTGCATATTACCATTACAAAAACATTTAATTATTATATATAGTTGAGATCATAAATCAATTGAAGCTGGACCACCATGGAAAAACTGGAAACACTGCACGGTCGTTTCGTTCTATCGTGGAATAGCTCGACAGTGCGCATCCACAACATCGCCTAGCGAGATTCCAACCCAGGAACTACCAGTCTTGCTCGCGAACGCTTAATCTCGACACCACTGAGCTGGCTGGCATCCGACGGTGTTAATGTTTAACTTCAACTAATCCATGAAATTGAGCAACTATTCACCAATGTCTTCAGTGAGTTGATATCTCCCAACAGACTTGGTTGAACTCCACTGGTCACTATCTCTCACTAGAACACCAGGAAATATCTCATGAAGCCAGTCACTAGTGAACATATGATCATGATCAGAAGGAGGTTTTGTGGAGATTTTAGTAGTTTTATATAGTTGAGATTATGAATCAACTGAACCTCGACTAACATGGAAAACCTGGAATCACTGGATGACCGTTTCGTCCTATTGTGGGACTCTTCAGCAGTGTGCATCCATGATCTTTACATTAATTTATATTAATTTAAAACAACCATTTTGAGTGATTTTATTGATACAGTGAACGAAATAAACATCAGTCTAATGATAAGTTTATGAGACTGGTCAGAATTCCGTTTCCTTTTTCAAGGAATGCTATATAGGCCACTGTTCAAAAAATGTAGCTTAAAGTATATACGTGAGGTGGTTTTTCCTCTGAGCTGGATGGTTTTGATTATCGTCCTCGAGAACATGATTAACACACAATTCATCAAGAAGTGAGTTAATAAAATTTCTTCACAACTAACTAGTTGTTTATTCTGTTGATTTCGAATTTGATTGATTGTCGTACATTATTACGTCGTGACGTTTTACGGCCAGCTTATATTCATGTGGGCATGGACGGAGTAGATAGGCCGCTTTATCTTACCTAATGCTTCACACAATTGCTACAATTAATTTTGTAGATCAATTTGGTTTGTCTCTGTTTGTTATTCTGTCTTTTGAACTGCATAATATTGATTATAAAGATTTTTTGGGTTTGTGTGCTACACCTATTCCTAGTAGCATTATTAATCTGTTTGTGGTTTCGGAGACGTTTTTCAGATCGCGTAGAATCATCCGTTTGGTTAATTTTGTAATTAATTTGTGCCAAGTGATTGGTTTAATAGACATTTCTTGATGACGTATTTTTAGTATAGATCTTATCGAAATACATCCATCAGGTGCTTCTTTTTAGTTTTCCGAATAATGGAGATTCGTTAATACGTTCCCCCTCTTCTGAATCGAGTTTATATACAACTTAATTTGTCGGTCATTGGATTGTTGCTGTAATAATCGAGTATTTGACTAGTGTTCATTTCTGATAAACTTCAGTCTCGGGTTTTCCTATGTTGGTCCTGATGATGCATACATTCATAAACGATAGTTTGTTTCCTGATTCTGTTTCCAAGGTGAATCTTATATTTATCCCTCGATTAAGCTTTAGTTCGTAAAGCTTCTTTCTTACTGGGGCAGCCGGTTGTTCTCCCATATATAGGTAGCTTGTGTATCAGTCTTAGAATCAGATTTTGTATAGTAAAGCACTTATTTTATTTATTTTTATTTACGACTGTTACCCCTCGTGGAGCAGCATCGGCCGCACACCAGTATTCTACATCCAACCCTGTTCTGGGCAATCCTTTCCAGTTCATTCCAGTTAACATTCATCCTTTTCATATCTGCTTCTATTTACCGGCATAGTGTGAAAGAGCATCGGCCTCGTGACTTCCGAAAAATCTCGGCTTTCATCATTACTTACTTACTTACGCCTGTTACCCCTCGTCGAGGAGCATAGGCCGCTCACCAGCATTCTCCATTCAACTCTGTCCTGAGCCTTCCTTTCCAGTTCTTTCCAGTTACTATTCAGCCTTTTCATATCGGCTTCTATTTCCCGGCGTAGTGTGTTCTTTGGCCTTCCTCTTTTCCGCTTCCCCTCCGGATTCCAAGTTAGGGATTGAGGCGTCATAATTCTTCCAGGGCAGAGTTTAAATCGTTTGAATTATTTTTTCTCGGTGGCGTTTTTTTAGCAAATTAGTTTTTCTTCGGGATGGGTTCGCTAACCTAATGCCCAACTTTCCTCCTTTACCCGGGTTTTGGACCGGCAGTAACTCTAGAAGAGCTACAGGCGGAGTTAGTAAAACATTTATTCAGTTAATAAATCATATAATGTGTTTGTGATACATTTGTCTCTGGAAATTATAAGTAAACTTCCTAATGCCTGCAATTCATAAACATCTATATCAAATAGAAGAATATATGGCTGGGAATCCCAAACTTCTGACCACGTTTTAAGTTGGTAAAGGTTTGTCACATACTGTGTATGTATTTTCCATACAAATGGTAAATGTTAGAACAAAGTTCTCATGATTTTATAAATATACACTACTTTATAGGTTCCTGATTCACTTGAAAACAAGGTAGACGGTTTAATGCTTCGAGCTGGCAAATTTACAGATAAAGATAACGAATGTATGTTGAGTTTTGGTAATACTTCACTGTTCAAGTTTCATTTGTTCAAATATGTAGTCCTTCAGATCCAGTTTATCTCATCCACATTGAATTTATCTTTTATCTTATTTAATGACGGCATAACTAGGCATCAGAATGTAAATGTAATTTATCTTAGGACTGTTTTGGATTTGAAATAAGACGTTATTAGCATTAGCATTTCCTTTACTGAACGTTAAGTAAAGAATAAGGTGGTAGAAAAACTTATACTACTCTATCCAGTTGTCTGTATGTTAAAAGTGTAAAAGTTATTCTCCACTATATCGATTAATGATGTATTGAAACTTCATCAGTTGAGATGGCTGGGACACGTGTTACGTATGACCAACCACCGACTGCCCCGACGTGCAATGTTTTATGGTGTAGGAGTAGGTTGAAAGAAAGCTAGGAGCGGTCAGACCAAAATGTGGCACAAACCCATGAAGTCACTGACAAGTGGACTGGGTCATGCTGGTAGGTGTAGACTACCTGGTTGGGATTCGCGAGATGATAGCAATCGATGGTAAGAGACCTTGAATGACATGGCTCAAAATCGTTTGCAATGGCGAAGGTGCATCCACTCTTTGTGTTCTACCAAATTATAATCTTCTGAATTCTTTGTGTCCCTATCTTTCTTTTTTCTCTTTCTATATTTATTTCATTGGATTATACTCCTTGAATAACATCTTCAAACCCTAATCTTTCACATAATGCTTATACTCTTACTACTACTACCACTATGGAATTTGACTGGACAACTGCATTTCTGTGTTAATGTGGTATGGCAACTCGAGCTGATGTACGTATGTACGACGTTCTACGTTGTGTCTGACTAACTGACTGATTCTCCACCACAGAATTATATGTGTAACTGACAATGATAAATGAAACTTGCTTATTTAAATAGAATATTAATAGAAAATTGTTCACTTTGTAGTTCATATAACTGAATGAATTCTCCCAGACAACAATTCACACTGGGGTAACTTTTAGGCAGTTGTTTTTTTTCCTTCTATTGGAAAGATGACGGCTGATGACGAAACTATAAGTATTATTAAAAAGGGAATAAGGGATTTGATTGCAGACACATCATTTCACAGGTATGGGGGCTACTGTTGAATTCTTTAATTCCGCACTGTAGAAGGATAGCTCTTGAGGTTTCTAAAACAATAAGCTGGGTCAAGGGTTTCATGCTGAGTTGTGAGAGTGAACTCAGTGACCAAGATATAAGTGCTTGAGGCCAATCATCAGTGGTATTTTGTAGGTAGTTTCTATATGTTAGCTCTATACTTGTGTGATGCTGTTTTGGGCAACAGAAATCCACGAGTTATATGTGATATCCTTCTCTAATAATTGGGTTTTTCTCCTACCACTGCGGGAAGTATTATCACCGAAGATATTGCTCAATTATGTGAACCACGTTGGTGCCGTCGAACCCCAGAGAGATAGTAATTCATTCTTGGATTATGAATATACTTCTTCTCTCCAATCGACTCTCTTGGTAATAGTATAATCTGGTTTACTTTTATAAGAATTGTTCATTCACTTGCGTATTTTAATTGCTCTATTTCCTTTGTTATTTCAAGTATATTATGAAGCTGATGGAAAACATTTCACTGTCATAAAGATTCCACCAACTGTTGTAAAATCTGGTACTTTGATTGAATACAGTCCACTTACATGTAAGGAAATAATTTCAGAATTTTGATTATCATTTTTTCATAAATTCAATAATCTTTTAAATACCAAAAGTGGGGTTTTGTGGATATTATAGTAATCTTATTAGTTGAGATCATGAGTCAATTGAAGCTAGACCATCATGGAAAACCTAGAAGCACTGGATGGCTGTTTCGTTCTATTGTGGGACTCCTCTTGGATGCACACAGCTGAGGAGTCCCACCTCGAGAGGCGAGGTCGTGGATGCGTGCTGCTGAAGAGTCCCACAATAGGACGAAACGGCCGTCTAGTGTTTCTAGGCTTTCCTTGGTGGTCTAGATTTAATTGGCTCATGCTTTCAACTATGAAAATACTAAATCTTCACAAAACCCCTTCTGATTAGACTCAAATGACCCGATAAGAGTATCTATCATCTATCATCCTCTATTGCCAAACATATAATCGAAACAGGCCATAAGATTGATGTGGTGTTGTATAAAAGTGTAAAAGGGCGTTTATTGAAGCCTTAGCCATACGAAAATTCAAACCCCCTTTGTGTATTCAAAAACAGTTTGTTTTCACCTTAAACCTACTCTGGTAATATTAAATTATTATCCAGAGTGATTAGGTATCAAATTGTTTATTATTATCCTTGTCTATTCTTCCCCCCATTTCCACTCGAGTTGACTTTTTACTTCTATATATAGATGCTCTATCGGTTAAGTGCTCTGCCGTGAGACTGGTAGGTCCTGGATTCGAATCTCGCGAGTGCGGGATCGTGGATGCGCACTGCCACTGAGAAGTTCTATAATAGGACGAAACGGCCATCCAGTGCTTCCAGGTTTTCCCTGGTGGTCTAGCTTCAATTGACTCATGATTTCAACTATGGAAATACTACACAAAACCGCTTCTGATTATATAAATGTCCTTAACAAGTGCATTCTGTGTGATCAGATTGATTCGAAATGTATTGCTCTAATATATCATCACATAGTCCTGATAATCTTCGTCTTCTTAATACATTATCGAAATGACAGTTTTACAAAATCTGTTCATATCCATAACTTTTCCATTTCTGTCTAATCTTTCTTATTGATTCATAGTTCATGAATGTATCAGTATCATAATGAAACTATAATAATTTTTTTTCTGTTCCTAAAGTTTGTAATGAAATAAATGATATTGAAAACATCCCAGAAAACATGGTGCATTCCATGAAGACTTCAATGAATATCGCGAGTGATGTTGTTTGTGAAGATATTCAAAATACAGAGTGCCCAATCACTGGCTGCAGTGTAACAGTAAGTAACTTATGAATTTATTAAACTATCTTGTAAATTGTAAGCAAAAATGGATAGTGGTTAGCAGTGGAATCCAGGATGCGCGTTTCGTCCTATTTGGGACAGTGTGCACATATGTCAATTAGAGACTGACCTGTTGCAGTCCGAAAACATCAATTCGAAGATTCAAACAAACAATGCTAAGTAGATTTAAACTTCACCCCATTGCACAAGGAGGTGGCTATCAGGACTCAGTAGCTGAGTGGATAACGCGACGTCATTTGAAGAGAAGGGTACTGTGTTCGAGTCCCAGAGTGAACATCAACTCTCAGATGCAGTTACATCCAGCTGACGAGTCCCAAATAAGACGAAGTAGCGCACGTCCTGGATTCCACTTCTAGCCACTATCCATCTTTGCATACAATGCTTTTAAATTAAGGCTATATCGAGGCAATACGTACAGTATGCACATATACGAATTAGAGACTGACCAGTTGGAGTCCTAACACATCAATGAGAAGATTCAAACAAACAATACTAAATGAATTACATGAATACTGTTCAGGAAGAAACATCGAAACTCAGTGAAGGCGAAAGAAAACTAAAAAAACTATAGTAAAATGAAACATTACAATCTCAAATGGCATCAAAAAGACTAAAAATAATGTACAACCAAATAAATCAAGAAGAAAAAGCTACAAATGTATGCATGGATTGGTCTTCACACACAAAATCTTCAAAATGGATCTTACAATAACTACTTTTCATCCTTGCATTGCAAAAACGTAAAAGCATTAAAGTAAAAAGAAAGGCTAAGTGGCATAGATAGATAGATATTTCCCCAGTACTCACGTGTTTGGATGTATCCAAGGTCCTAAAATAGGATGGAACTTTTTCATGGATCAAGTAAACGACAAAGTTGGCCTAATATTGTCAAGACATAACTACACATTCATATCATAAGTTAAGATGCTTACTAATTTAGTAAGTCTAATGTTATCAGATTTCAAGTCTATCATCCTACCTTCATTAAGAATCTAGACTGTTGATATTTACATTCAGAACAAATGATGAAATAGTTTGTTGAATAAAACATCATTCAATATTTTCAAACAATCATTATTTTCATTGTTGAAATCATGAGTCAATTGAAGCTAGACCAACATGGAAAACCTGGAAGCACTGGATGGCCGTTTCGTCCTATTATAGAACTTCTCAGTGGCAGTGCGCATCCACGATCCCGCACCCGAAAGATTCGAACTCAGTAACTAACAGTCTCGCACTAGAGCACTTGACTGATCTAGCTTCAATTGATTCATGATTTCAACTATGAAAGTGGTGAATTCTCCACAAAATCGCTTCTGATCTATAATCATTATTTTGTTTTCTTTACCAAAACTATACTGAACCATGTGATATGAATTTGAAGAAACCAATCAATAATTCTATAGAAGTCTCCACCAATCGAAATATAGAACAAACAACAAACGATCCAGTATTACCATATACATTTTCAATTCTTAGCTATGAACAACAATTATTAGAGGCTAGTCAAAAATTTGATGTCGATTTTATTATACGTCGTTTCACTATCTCACTTTTATTACCATTTCTATTGATAGCAACAGTATTATGCATTGCTTTTCCATTATTTATATATAGAAGACGTAAGTAATTTTTTCTTTTTAAATTAATCGTTTTTTATGTAAATTTTAAAAGTATAATGAGAAGATGAGGTTGATCTATAAAAATGTGAAGTAGTCGAACGCGTTGACAACTTCACTTATCTTGGAAGTTTGATCAGCCCTAATGGATTGGTGTTTAACGAAATCTCAGCACGGATTCGGAAAGCTCGTTTGGCTTTTGCCAATTTACGTCACTTGTGGCGAAAACTAGATATCCGTCTATCAATTAAGGGACGAGTATACTGCGCATCAGTTCGCTCTGTTCTACTTTATGGCTGTGAAACGTGGCCATTAAGAGTAGAAGATACTCGCAAGTTGCTAGTATTTGACCACAGATGCCTTAGAAATATTGCTCGCATATGCTGGGATCACTAGGTAAGTAATAATCAGGTTAAACACAGAGTATTAGGGAATGATGCTGGTAAATCAGTTGATGAGGTGATGAATCTTCATCGACTGAGATGGTTGGGCCATGTGTTGTTATGTATGCCTGAACACCGATTACCATGACGCGTTATGCTGACTAGTATTGGCAACAGTTGGAAGAAAGTTAGGGGTGGCCAAACCAAAACATGGCATCAGTGTTTGAAGTCACTAACTTCTAGCCTGAGCCATGTTGGCAGATGCAGACTACTTGGTTGTAATCCGCGTAACTATCGTAACCAATGGTTGGAGACTCTAGGTGACATGGCTCAGAATCGATCACAATGGCGTAGGTGTATACACTCTTTATCTTTCCTTAAACCTTGAGATTAAAATTGCATCATATCTTTCTTCCTTCCTATACTATATCCTTATATACAAGCTTTCTTTTATATATTACCACCAGTAAATGAACTATTTCTATGAATCCGGTATTCATCTTGTTTTGCTAACAAGGTATGGCAACTTGGACCGATGCATAAATGTGCCTGGTCCTACGTTATAGCTGACTGACTGACCGATAAAAATGTTATTTATGTGAGTGATATCAAGAGGGTTTTTGTGGATATTATAGTAATCTTAATAGTTGGGATCATGAGTCAATTGAAGCTAGACCACCATGGAAAACCTGGAAACACTGGATGGCTATTTCGTCTTATTGTGGATCTTCTAAACAGTGCGCATACATGAACCCAGGACATAACAGTTTTGCGCTTAACCTCTAGACCACTGAGCCAGGTTTTCGATAGTGGTCTAGCTTCAATTGACTCATGATCTCAACTATTAAACTTAATTTATGCATTGAATTTTGGATGTTTTAATCTTCTTTCCATTCTTTAACTTTGTATCATTGTATTTTAGAATCTCTTAAAATGAACAATTGGAATTTCAAATAATTCCAAGATCTCTAACAAACCTATCTCTTCTGGGAAAGCAGTTTTATTAAAAGGAACTTCAATTCAACAGACAATGATTTTGAAATTAATATGATTACTTTGTTTTGCCTAAATGTAATTTTCAATGATATAAATATTACTTACTTACTTACTTACTTACGTCTGTTATTCTCAATGGAGCATAGGCCGCCGACCAGCATTCTCCAACCTACTCATTTAGTCCTGGGTCTTCCTATTAGTTTAATAAACTTATATATAAATTTAGAAGGGGATTTGTGGAGATTTCAGTATTTTTCAAAGTTGAAATCATTAGTCAATTGAAGCTAGACCACCATCGAAAACCTGGAAGCACTGGACGGCCGTTTCGTCCTACTATGGGACTCCTCAGCAGTGCGCATCCACGAACCCACTCTCGCGGGTTAGACACATATATAAATTACTTATCTGTAAGAATGTTACGTAATTCACTAGATTATAACTTAATTAAGAGTGTAAAATGAATATGATTTTCAACTGTCTATTTTATAGACAATTTTTCAAAGAATTTACTTGATATTACATAACCTACTTTAGATCTACACTTGGATCGATAATATTAACCATATACAAATAGTAGTGTATTACAAAACCAATAAACTAATTTGAAAGAAACTGCATAGTGACATAGTAACATGAGATTATGATTATTATTCTTTAATACGAATCTGTTTCCATGTGAGTTGTTCCAGCTGAATAAATTAATTATGTTTTTGATGTAGGTTTGTTCTCTGAGCTGGATGGTTTAGTCGTGGAGTTTTCATCGTCCTTCTGAACGACCAAACTATCCACCTGAGAGAAAAAAACCTACATCAAAATCAGTCACCTGAGCTACAAATCTTCTCCATTGTTTTAAAATTATTATGTACTCAGTGATTGATCCTATAAAGTAATATTTTGCGAAAACATTGCTGATAGGAGTAAATCAGTTACCTAAACTCTTCTAATAACTATAAGCGACACCTATACAAATTGAATAACAGAGAAAAGAGTAAAGTGTGAAAAGAGCACTCTACTAAAAGTTTAGTTGATGTATAGAAAATTGAAGGTATTTATACAATTTCAGATGATCTCGAGTTTCTACGAGTTTGTGGAACCATACTAAACATAGTAGTAGGACAGGTAATCGTTCAATCAGAAACATTGTAGTTTGGTCTACTTTTATCCATATAATTAGTATATGGTGATAGTCAGACATAGAATGTATTTTGACAGAAGATCGATAAGGAACGAAGAGGTATGAAGCGCAATCGGTACGAAAATGCATGAACAATGAAATCAGAGAAGACGGACTGATATTTACAGCAGGAACAGTGAAGATTGAGACAATTGATTGTTATTTTGCAAATCAACTGTTTACTGCATGGTTATCAGAATTTAGTGAAATAGTCTGTAATTTTTGCTTAAATAAATTCGATTGTCCACTTTCGTGTTCTCGTTCACTACAATATGACATGTGAATTTTCACTTGCTAAATGTTTCTGAGAGACATCTACACACTGTTGATTGTATAGAATGTTTCCTAGAGTTTTCAGGACCCCTATGGAATTCTACAGCAATTACTGAAAACGATAATTTTTGTGACTTGAACTCAAGGTTTCTAACTTGTTAAGCAGTTATACTCAATTAGATAAGCTCATTCCATCAACGAACAAAATGGATATATCTAAGGCTGTTTTTTTTCAACACCTTCACTTTCACTTCAAATACATCATAATCCTTAACTAACTTGACAGTACTGATTAAGCATTAATCTGGAAGTAGTTATTAGGGATATCATGAGAAGGAACAACGAAATATTTATTCATGTCAGGAAATGCATTCGAAAACGTAAGAACGATAGCAAACAATGATCTTTAATTATGAATGATTTGAGATCAAAGACAAGATCGTGCAGTAAAATGACATGTTGGCATAAGACCCTTTATCCTGCGTAACTTTTACAATCCTCCATATCCATTTGTTTCCTCCCCCTTGATATATTGATAGTAAGTGTGATAACAACTTGATTCATGGGTTACTAGCATATTTATTTATTTATTTGAACACATATTATCATAGATTGATGTCTTTCAGCAATCACTCACGTATGTTGGAACAACCTAATATTGAGAAATGTTGAGGTTAGATGTAGGGTAATAGGTAAACATTTCATATTGATTGGTGAGATTGAACCTGACGATTGTGGTGGCTGGAACATACGTTGCATACGCCTAACATCCACCTACCGCAACTCATAATGTTCGATGATATTGGAGTAGGTTAAAAGAAATCGAAAGGCGATTAGACCAAAAAATGGCAACATAAAATAAACGTGGTAAAATCTCGTACATGGTTAAAGGAAGTTATTTCGTAGATCACTCGTTCTCTAATCAATTATTACCTTATTGTTAGTCACACAACAGTTAAAGCGTATGTACGTTTAAAAGTATAATAGGATTTTCACAGTTGAAATCATCAGTCTAATAGAAGCAAGACCGCTATGGAAAACCTGGAGGCACTAGATGGCTGTTTCGTCCTAGTGTCGGACTCCTCAACAGTGCGCATCCACGATCCCGCCTCGAGAGATTCCAACCCAGGACCCACCAGTCTCGCACCAGACCACTTAACCAATAGACCTCAACGTTTTTTGAAAATTCCAGCGAAACCAAAGTTACAAGACTTTAAGAAGTATATGTTAATAATTATTCTTTGGTGTCCAAATTTCGATCACGCCATAGAAAGAACAGTCAAAAAGACAATATATATCTTTCAAATAATGCATTTGGAATCGAATTAAAGCATCAAGTATAGAACCTAAGATAGTACATGACTTTCAACTGGAAGTATATGTGGATCATGAAATTAAACGTCAAAATTAGACTTGCTGTCCAATTTAACAAACCTCCAAGTACTAGTGTGTACACACAGAAAACATTTGAAAAGCGCTTCGGCCAACAGTAAGAATGAATATTGAAATAGAAGTATAAATGAATTCTGAGATGGTGGGGAAGATTTGTAGCTCAGGTGGATGGTTGTTGTGGAATTTCGTTCCCTAGGTTCAGATTGTAGATGAATGGCATAAGTGCCCTATTGAAAAAGAATCCATTAGTCATAAGTATGCAAATGATTGAAAATAAATCAAACTACTGCAAATTATAAAGTAATATCGAGTGAAGAACAACAAAATCGAGCGAAGAATAACCGAGATCAAAAGAGGGAACTGATTTCTCAGGATAATCCTTATACAGTAAAATGGTTACATGAAAAATTCATCCCCCAAACAAGCTAATCGAATAAATTCATGGCATTTTTCATGAGAGGGTTAGTAACACACAGTGGCCAAATTAAAAGTTAGCATGCCATTGAAGGATGAATACATGACAAATCAGTAAACCAAAATAGATGAACTTCAGGAAATGAGATGATCCCTTTTTGTAGACATCGTCGCATGATATAATATGATCAAACGGTCATACTAATTATAATAGTAGGTAATGATATTCCCCATAGAAATGACAGGGAAAGAAGAAAGATGTCCTCAACTAATTAATAGTTTCGATAAAAAGATTATTTTTCAACTAAACTCACTGTTCAATCCGAAAGGAATCCAACTGTAGGCGAAAAACAATGAATCTTACTCAAGACAATATTGTATCGACGAGATTAGATCAACCTCACTTTATCCACTCCCAGTAGAATCCACGTTTGGGTGAATCCCGTACTGAAACTTATTGCTCTGTTGTAAGCCTCTTAACACCTACCTCATGGCAACTGGAAAGTATTGTCCAGGACAAAGTTTCATGGAGAATGCTGACGGCAGGCCTATGATCCTCCACGAGGGGTAACAGGTGTAGGTAAGTAATGTGCACCTGTGTTGTATGCATGCTACTTATGTCGACAGACATAAGTAGGAAAGGAATTGAGAATAGGAAGGATGTAAAGCACAATTGATGGAAGATTTGTAAATGAAGTAATTTAATGTGTGTTTTTCACATTTTACGAAAGATCTCTGTAGTTTTGCATTAAATAGTAAATTAGTCTTCCCCATTTTAGTGTTCGTTCACTACACACTACCTTTCAATGGAGGAAACCACCCGTCGAGCTGTGATTACTCAGCTACAGTGCCCGTACATCTAGGATTCGGTTGTGTTTTAATAAGCCCGATGGTGAAAAGAACACGGTAGCAACAGTTTCCCCGAAAATACTAGTCCCTCAAGATTTATAAGATATGTGTATGCATAACTTAAAAATTGTTTTTTATCAACTAATTATCGTTATGCCATAATAGGTTAATACGAACTCTAAATACTCCGCCTGTAGCTCTTCTAGAGTTACTGCCGGTCCCAAGCCCCGGTAAAGGAGGAGGGTTGGGCATGAGGTTAGCGATCCCATCCCGTAGAAAAGCTAACTCGCTAAAAAAACGCTAACCAGAAAAAATAATTCAAACCATTTAAACTCTGCCCTCCAAGTTGAAGGAATAATTATGACGTCTCATGATGAAAGTCGAAATTCTTCGGAAGTCACGAGACCGATGCACCTTCTAACAACCACAGCAACACTCTTTATAGGTACATGGAACGTCCGGACAATGTGGGAGACAGGGAAGACCAGCCAAATTGCAATGGAAATGAAGAGATACGACTTGGCAGTACTCGGAATCAGCGAAACCCATTGGACACAAACTGGACAACAAAGGCTAGGTACAGGAGAGATGCTGCTGTACTCCGGTCACGAAGGGGAAAATGCTCCACACACTCAGGCAGTTGCTCCAATGCTGTCCAAAGAAGCACAAAATGCACTTGTGGGATGTGAATCTCATGGACCCAGGATAATCAAAGCATCATTCAGAACAAAGAAGCAAGGGATCACAATGAACGTTATCCAATGTTATGCACCCACCAATGATAGCAACGACGATGATAAAGATCATTTCTATGGAAAGCTGCAATCAATTATAGAGAAGTGCTCACGAAAGGACCTGA